CCACCCTACTTGGAGCAGCTTATATCCTCCGACGTTACCTTGACAGTTCCTAGGTCCTTGGATAGGGCTCGAGTTGTTGAGCTACCAACCAGCCCCAAAGGCTGTGAATCTCACCAAAGATTAACCACGCAATAATAATAATTTTAGAGGAAATCCTTGACTTACAACAGTTGATTTAGTATCATTTCAATGGTACTGCATTGAGAAAAGTGATTTATGACTGTTTTTCACACTTACAATTGTTACAGCATCATGGCCATATGATCAATATTTAGCTTCTTGGCAATTGAATCATATTTATACAGTTTTAGTGTCCCAGGGACATGTGATCCCCATTTGCAATCTTCTGACCACTAATGTCAATGGGAAAACCAGGTTCACTTAACCACATTTACTCACCTTCTTGTTTTGATCACAATATTAGTTTTCATTTTAGACTAAACTAGTTTTGTCATAAAACATGAATACATCAAACTTCCATAGTTTTCAAAATTGCATTTTTCTTATTCTCTGACCACCAGGTGGCTCTACAGCATAAAAAAAAACCTATTTCCTTTGAATGGTGTAAAGTTGCATCACAAAGTTCTAAGTTATTTTAGAATACTTAATACATAAACATTTCTTCATCAAATACAATTAGAACTTTGTTCATATAGCTTTCTCATACAGGATTGTAATTTTTTGTATTCGTCAATAAATATGTATAATTCTTCATTAAATTTGTATTCTTTGTTTTTGGAAAAAAAACAGGGGAAAAAAGAAAGCAAGGACCTTTTTATGATAGAATGATCCAACAAAATGCTTCATCTTCTCCAAAGATGAAGATGAAGATGATGATTATTCTTATTCTTTTTTTAAAGCAGAAATGATTTTATTGTTGAACACAAATGGAAAAGACATCTCAATTTACGTTAAAGAATACAAAATACTTAGAAAACTGAGTCATTAAACATGCTCTTGTACAATTTAGCCATTTCAGTTGGAATCACCCACACAAAGTCTCCAAATGGAGGAGGCAGCTTCCCAAGGGGCAAAAATGAGTTAACTCCCATCCATGTTAAATAATGAAGAAACCCAAAGTCTGATCATCAGCTTTCCGAACAGCTGCCCTTTTTTTCTCCCTAATCCCTATGATTATTCTTATTGTTGTTTGAGAGAAGTGTATTGGATGCCCTTGTGGATGGGACTACATTGAACCATGCCAAACCTAGGGCCCTCCTAAATTGAGGGATAGTGGTTTTATTTAAATATCTGCAGATCAAGAAGTGATGACAAAGTTTGTTGGAAATGCCAACTTAGGAAGGGAGATCAGTTTGATTAAATATCAATATTCTGATATACTGCTGCTGTATGTATGTGTGTTACATAAATCTTAGCACAACACATTAAGAGTTCAGTTGTTGTTAGTTGTGAAGTCGTGTCCGACCCATCGTGACCCCATGGACAACGTTCCTCCAGACCTTCCTGTCCTTTACCCAGAGTCTATTTAAGCTCACTGAAGCCAACTGCTTCGGTAACTCCATCCAGACACCTCATTCTCTGTCGTTCCCTTCTTCTTTTGCCCTTAATCTTTCCCAGCATTAGGCTTTTCTCCAGTGACCAAAGTATTGGAGTTTCCTCTTCAGGATCTGGTCTTCTTAAGAGCAGTCATGGATGATCTCCTCTAGGACTGATCGGTTTGATCGCCTTGCAGTCCAAGGGACTCACGGGAGTCTTCTCCAGCACCATAGTTCAAAGGCCTCAATTCAGTTCAAAAGTTCAGTAGGAAGAAGCAAATCTAAACTGAGCACTTCCTCTAATATTCCAGTTTGATTCATTTCCAGGGACCAAACTCTTCTTTAGACGAAACTTTTCAAAAGCTTGCAGTCTTAAAATGTTAGTGCATTTATCTCTTTCGGGATGACAATGAATTTGAAAGTCCATCAAGGCTTTTAACAAAGAATGTAGTCTAAAACAGTGGTCACCAATCAGTGGTCCATGGACCACTAATGGTCCACAATAAATTTTGGTGGTCCGCAAAAAATTTATTTGCATTTTTTATATTGCACTAAATACTATTTTAAAAAAATCATATTAGTGGATTTAAAATTATGAATTTAGTGGTCCCTGAGGTCCAAAAGGTTGGTGACCCTTAGTCTAAAAGAAGAGGTCTGACACAGGTTCAAAGAGAAAATTGCATGGGATAATCCCTGCTTATTGCCTTATTCAGCGGAGAAGCAAACTTGAGGATTTAAAGCCATGCGTGAAGTCTATGAAGAACACAATCAATTCGCTAATATTAACTTTGGATCCTCTAAACCTGCTTCGGGAGCACGTCCCTAAAAATTATTTAAAGAACCTTGTCCTCATCCGTCCCTTCAACTTCGGACGGGCGATGCTTTTACAGAAAACGACTCCGTCCGGCTTGTTGCAATAACCCGTCCCGGTTTTTGCAGCTGCCTCGCTGACTCAAGGGTTGCTAAGCGACGCCGAAAGCGTCTCAGGGGTTGCTAAGCGACGCAAGCGTCTCAGGCGACAGACAAGCGCCGGCTCGCGCTCTTCTACGCCGGCTCAACGGCCGGCTGGCCAGGCCAGAAGCCGGAGACGCGCGCCAAAGTAAGGCTCGACAGGGCCTCCGTCCCGGCCTTGAGTAGCAGTTTCGCAACGTTGAGAAGCAAATGTCGAGAGGGAGAGTAGGGAAAAAAGTCAATAATTCTCCTCAGTGTACCTTGAAAACAACTCTGTGAGAAGTCTTTGATTACAACTTGAAAAACGTAAGAGACGTTCGGATTTAAAGCTTAAATCTCTGTATATTTGTTAGTAAATTGGTTTGTTTTTAAATGTGTTCTGTGGTAGCAAAGCATGAGTCTGCATGTATCGCTCTATCGCCGTCCAGTTTTGGCCCCGGCCGTGATAACCCATGAACCTGAGGTGCAACTCCTTTTATGATTTGCATGGTTTGTGCTTGGCATCCACCATGTTACACTTTACTACAGATTGTGCCGATTGGGGCATAATCGCGGAACTTAAAAAAGTTTTGGTGATGCTGGGGTGTAAAATCAGCATTTGATTTTGCTATTATTGTCACCTTGGTCGAATCACAGCCCACATCTGAATCTGCATCGGTACAAAATAGTGACTTTGATGTTGGATTCATGCTAGATTAGATTAACAGAGTTGGGAGGGACCTTGTAGGTCATCTAGTCCAACCCCCCCCCACCCGCAGGAGGGGGGAGCAGGAGACCCTACACCATTTCCAACAAATGGCAGTCCAATATTTTCCTGAAAGCCTCCAGTGATGAAGTTCCCACAACCTCTGAAGACAACTTCTGTTCCATTGGTTGAGAGGGCAGAGGGGATGGAGAGGAAGAACTAACACCAAGCCAACAGAGAAAACAATTTGAGAAGAAGAGATCTTGGAGAGTATCCCCCTTGAAAAGTATCTGAATATTAATAGCTTGGGTTAGTAGTTATGTTGTTGGTTTGAACTCCCATCTTGGCAATTTGTTTGCAAATGTTTGGTCCCCCATCTGTGGAGACATTTTTAGTGGGCTTTCCACTGAAGATGTGTCCTCGAACGGAGACCAGTTCGAGTTTGCAACCAAATCACCAAGCTGGGAGCTCAAACCAACAACATAAGTCTCTCCAGTTCACAAAAATGGGGAGGGAAGCACATTCAGACTTGCAAGATTCCCTTGCTGTAGCTGTCACAATAAACGTCCTAACTTACATGCCATTGTAGGGCTAACTTGTAGGGCTGGCAGATGTATAGCTTTAATATTTCCTTTAAAAAGTGCTGCTTAAAATACGATTATGATAAGAGGCTTAGGAGCATTGTTAAAAAGATTAGGGCAAAGAATGGCATATAGAAAATTCAACAGTGATTACTTAATATGGACCAAGAGATGGCAAGGAGATTGGAACTGTGGGTTAACCATCTAGGATTCCAAATTGTTAAATATGTTTATCTTTGTGTACTGTAGAAATAGAGTCTGCAGAAGGCTTACAGTTTTTAAAAATGTGACTTTGCTCCAGGGAGCTTCATGTAAATATTAGGATATAAGGGAGACCAAATTGAACTTGAATGGACTCATTTATGGGAAGTTGGCTGCTGGATTGGAAAGTAGTCTCTAGCTCATCGGTTTCTGAATCCTATTGTCTGAGAAACTCAGAACACAATGATCTGTAGCACTGTTTTTTCAAAATTAATATTAATGACTTATTTCCAGTCGAATGCAGTGAAAGACTTTACTGCTTTGAAAGTGATTTAAAAGAGAATACTCCTTTATATCCCTATAATTCTTTTATATCCCTGTTCGTACATCAAGGTCTAGGGAGAAGGTCTTCTGATTTCATAGCATCTTTGGTTAAATGTTAGTTTATTTTTGCCATGCTAATATCAAAAATATCCAAATCCGTTACACTTGATTGGTCCATGGTGAATGCTAAGTAAGTGGCAGATAGTTAACACTTCTTAATTAACTATTTGCCCCAATGATCAAGATTTATTTTCTATTAAAAATGAAAAGTCTTATAGTATTTACTCTGAAGAGCAGTTATAGTTGAAAAGCAAACAAATGTATGAATGAATTTGCTTATCTAACAAATTAATTCAGGTGGTTTCAGGTATACCAGTATTTATATCTGTATTAGGAGACAAGTTGTTCAAGCAAAATTATATTACTTTCTGTAACAGTTATACAGTATGCTTAAAACTAAATGGCAACTGATGAAATGTGGACACTTAATGATTCTAGGTGTATGCAGAATGAAGATGGCTGGCCCATTGAGACACATTGAAATAATAATTCAGCAGCTTAACAAATTCCATCCTGAAAATGAGAATGTTGGGCATTTCTTGAATGAATCAGCTAAAGTATTACAGGTATGAGATGTCTTTTGAAGCTCTCAGAAAATGCACATTTGAAATACTATATTATTAAATGTCAGGAGCCATGTTTATATATACTGTATTTTTGGGAGTATAAGAAGCACCCCCCCCCCAAAAGAGCGAGGAAATGTTGGTGCGTCTTATACACCGAATACAGCCATTTTTGGCCTCCCGAAGCCCTGCCCCCGCATACCATTTTTTGCAAAAAGTGCGGCTTTTTTTGCCTTCCCTCAGCCCCTAGCAGCCCTCTGCAGGCTTCAGCAGGGCTGAGGCAAGGCAGAAACGGGGGTGTTTTCCCCTTCCCCCAGCCCTGCTGAAGACTGCAGAGGGCTGCTAGGGGCTGAGGGAGGGCAAAAACTTTTTTTTCTTACTTACCTCTTTGAAATCTTGGTGCGTCTTATACACCAGTGCATCTTATAGTTTGAAAAATGTGTGTGTGTGTTTACATGTACACACACACACACTGTAGGCAAAATAAATTTGGTTTCTGAATTGCATTTTGATCTTTGATACAAACAGTTTGAAGGGCAACATTTGATTCTTTTTGGTTTTTTATTTCCATGTGGTAGGGCAATGCAGCAAGACTTCTTATCTCCACTAACTAGTTCTTTTTATTTTTCATTTGTTCCTAATTATTTAATTTTAAACTACTTTTCTAACCAATTAAATCTGTCTAAAGTAGTCTTAGGTTTATTTCTTTTTTGATTTTTTAATTATTTCTTCAATGGTGAGGAAGAAAAAGAGGACTTGAATGAATTATGGACATCCAAACTCCCAAAATCTCTAAACAATTAAAATTGGATAAACTGGTAAAGAAGTTTAATTTATTGCAAATAACCAATCCCAGATCACAAAAGATGATCACATAACCCGGGACATCACAACTATTATAAATACGAGTCCGATGATACAATTTTTCTTGGACAAGCTATCACAAAATTATTTTACTTTAAATGTTGTTTGGGTTAATTTATGGTGGATAATTATACTTTGTACATTTTGTACTGCTCAAAATATATACTACTTGTACATTTTGGTTATACCTTTCGGACAACAGTAGCTAATATTATTATTATTATTTTACATTGAATAATGACATTTATTCACATACATTAAGTTTTTGTTTTTACATTTAAATTAATTCTGTTTCTGTAGCCTTTCAAAGTAACAGATGAAATCCCTGTACCTGTAATGGCTATCTTGTGTGGCTGTTTAGAATATAAAACTCTATTGGATGTTGTAGTCGATGCATTTTATATCCGAGATGGAAAACATTGCCTATTTTCTGAGCGTAACATGTATATTGGTAAGTATTCATTTATATAGAGAGAATATAATAGTGTTAGAAAATGAGTCTGGTTTTTACTCTCCTGTATATATACCTACTAATAACAGCAGCTATATATATAGGTTTCAAGTACAACTTGCAATAATGAAAAAAATAAGATGTGAAACATATCATCACAACATAAACCTTCAGTGCTTTGTACAGTGGATATATGAATATTAAGTCATGGTGTTATATATTACATTGTGATGAATTTTATCATTTGCCTAACTTGCCTTCCATTCCCACTCTTAGATAACTATATTTGGAGAAGGCAAGTAAGAAATTTTAGAGTAGAAAGCTTTAATAGGCTTAATTATTCACTGTCTTCAATATTAATATGTGTGCCTTTTCTAGTTATTTGTTATTTGGCTACTTTTCGACTAGAGGAACTTGGACTTCAGCAATTCAGCAAAATCATCAAATCAATGGAAACTGCTAAGATATGTAAGGTAATTAAAATATTTGCATTTCATCAGAATTAAATAAAACTTTTCATTGGATTTTAAGTTGTATGGAATTGTAATGAATATTTTAAATAGTGAATTACTGTTCAAAGCTACTGCTTTTAGTATTTATCTTGTACTTGCAGTGGAAAAGTCTTCAAGTTGATAGTTATAGACACATCCCTCATCTACTACAAAGCTATAAATATTTCAAATGGCAATTTATAAAATTAATATGTTTAAATTAAAACAACACAGGGTTGGCATCCAGTGCTAAATGATGAAGCATGGCTTATAGACTGCATAAGATGCTAAAACAAAGCCAAATTTCTTAGCATCGTACATAAAGCCACTGTAATTACATTGGAAGAAAATCTAGCTATTAACAATTGAAGATTATGCTACTTCTTATGAAGCATTTTTTATCTACTCAGTTAAAAAAAAAAGAAGCAACTACTGGTACTTTATTTTCATCATTTAGAATCTTCCACTTACGTATTTTTGTACATCCCTTAAAATGAGAATACATTGCAACATACCAAGAAATGTTTTGAAAGAAACTGGGCTTCAGTTCATGTGGTACTTTGATTTTAGATGAAATCAAATAATGCATACTAAAATGCAAGCCAAAGCAGGTAGTCCTTGGGTTATGACCTTAATTGGGATTGGGATTTATGTTGCTAAGTGAAACACTTGTTAAGCAAAACATCACATTACTGTGCTGCTTAGCAAAACCAATCCTAGCAGTCTTAGTTGCCAGGACTCTGCGTTAGGAAAGAATCTCACACTTTTCCTATTCTGAACCACCTGCCTTGGATTTCCTCTCCTTGTTTTCCCCCTGCCCATTTCTGCTCTTCTGGCTGCTCTGCACTCTGCCATATACTCCTGTCAGCTCCTGCTGCCGCCACTGACGTTCCCTGTCTTCTTCCTTCTACCGCTGATCTGAGATCTAGGCTCTGAGCAAGGCTTCTTCACTGGAATGCTCATAGTGAGTGCAACTGAGTGCCAGAGCATTATCTGCCAAAGAGCCAGAAACTTCCATATTTGCCCCCCCCCCCATTTCTGCCCTTTTGACTATCCTACACTAAGAAATGTGTTTACATGTTATTTTTACCTGTGTCACTGCTAATCATCGAATTCAAAAGTCAAAAACGGTTTTCTTTCTTTTCCCTCCTTTTGCCTGGATCTTTAGTCTCCTCTAGTTTCTCACTTCTGTATAACATGATTTATCTTCATTCTTTTGCTATTTTGTTTGTTTAAAAGAAAAGCTTATCATCTTTCCTGAAATATTTTGAATATTTTAAAAGTTTTAAACTTTTAAATTTTGCTGGATCCTAACTATTTTTCACAGTTACAAGCTTTGCAACATACCCATAATAGTGATCAAAATTCAGACACTTGGCAACTGACTCATACCTATGACCGTTGCAGCATCCTGGGGTCACATGATCCCCTTTTATGATCTTGTGACAAGCAAAGTCAATGGAGAAACCATATTCACTTAACAATCAGGTTACTAACTTATCAACTGCAGTGATTCACTTAACAACTGTGACAAGAAAGATCGTAAAATGGGGCAAACCTCACTTAACAAATGTCTCACTTTACAACAGAAATGTTGGGCTTCAATTGTGGTCGTAGGTCGAAGACTACCTGTAATACCCTAATGAACTATGAAGGAGAAAATCATACAGACACCAAAAATGACAGGGAAAGCTACTGAATATAAACAGGGAGCAAATCCCACGTTTGCTTCCACTAATTTATGTTATTTAGCTGTGTAATAAAATATCTGCAAGCGAACAACCAGCCTCAGAGAAAACCAAAAACTCCACATTGTTTGAACTACTGACAAGTACGCATGGCAGGCTTCCGTATCACAATAGCAACACATCATTTTCTCACAGCAACTTCCCACCATTGCTATTGCTATCTTTTAGAAGACCCTGGAGGCGTTACATTTCATTCAGTCCTTGTATTATATTATTATTGTGGTGATAAGAATATCCATAGTGTTTCTGCAGTTCTTGTACCAGACTGTACACTATTTGGGGGGTTCTGAAATTTTGGGACACATTTGCAGAATATAAATATTTCTGGGTGTTATCATAAAAGAGGACCTGACCTGGGTCAGTGCTCACATTGCAGCACTGGTCAAAAGGCCCAGCAAAGATTATACTACCTGAGACTTCTCAGGAAGCAACAACTGAATGAAAAACTGCTGGTGACCTTCTACTGCTGTACCATAGAGAGTATTTTAACTTGAGAGACCGCCTCCTGCCAGTCACCTCCCAAAGACCTATTAGATCCCACAGACTAGGCCTCCTCCGAATTCCATCTGCCGGCCAATGTCGGCTGGCGACTCCTCGGGGGAGGGCCTTCTCTGTGGCTGCTCCGGCCCTCTGGAATGATCTCCCCGTGGAGATCCAGACCCTTAATACCCTTCCGGCCTTCCACAAAGCAGTTAAGACCTGGCTGTTCCGGCAGGCCTGGGGCTGTTGAACTATCCAGCCCCATTCGAGGTTACGGCTGTTGTAGAATTTTAAATTGTTGTTTTTTATTTTATTTTTTGTATCCCCTCCCTTTTTATTGTTAGCCGCCCTGAGTCTCTCAGGAATAGGGCGGCATACAAACTTAATAAAATGAAATAAAATGAAATTACTGCATCTGCATATGGTTTGCTAATTGCACAGTGGCAGTGCATAGGACAGCGCTCCAGAGAGTTAACATCATTGCTCAGAGGATCATTGGTTGCCCTCTCCTCTCTTTGGAAGAGCTTTATAGCTCCTGCTGCCTTAAGTAAGTTCAAAACATTCCTAAAGATCCATCTTATCCTGGCACCCTTTTTGTGAACTATTACCATCTGACAGATGGCACAGGATAATAAAAACAAGGACAAATAGGCTGAAAAAAAAGATTCTATCCCAGAGCAGTAAGCATATTGACTCGTACTGTATACTGCAGTATTTAATGCAATATCAGGGGGTTTTCAATTCAATTGTGTAGAATGTAGATGGGTGTTTGTGTTTTATTTTTATAGTTATAATGTACACTGAAGATGCCACTTAATTTCATTGTACGAAGTACAATGACAACAAATTAAACTAAACTAAATATAGAGAAAAGTGGTATTTCCAAAATATTTCCTCAGTTCTAATGGGAAAATCTACTATGGTCATGTCTAGCGCTCCAGGCAATATTTCAATAGAAATTATGAATAAGTTACTGCTGAAAAAAGAAAGTGTGAATTAATTTCAAGGCATTTTTTTTTTAAATTAAGCTTCTTTCATTGATGCATGCAGTCTTTTCAGTTCCTTAGGTTCTTTTTCAATTTGGTGAATTTGCAAACATGGATAAAAGATGAATGGAGTCATATTTATGATTCGGATTATGTAAATGAAAATTGGATTGAACCACTGGAAAAGTAAGTAATAGAAGCATTGTAGACATGCTTTTTCAGAAGGAATTCCCAATTCATTGTCAGGACATATTTCTCAAAAATGTGCATGATTTCCTGTTTGAATGTATCTTAAGTAATATTGTTCATTTGAATCTCTACATAACAGAGATAGGCACTGTTAATTATTTGTATTGGACTTCTAGTTCAGGATCAATCTAAATGCCTAGATTCTATAAAATAATTAAAATTGCTTATACTAGTATTAATTAAGCAGATGGAACCCAGCCAAAAAAATAAAATTTTATTTTTGTTTGTTTGTTTTTTTGTTTTGCTTCCTGGAAGATGGCAGCCAAAAATACAGCAATTGATCAGTCAGCTGGATAATATTGCCGATAAACACGCTATTACACTTTTAAAGACGACTCAACCAAATGAGTTTCATTTGACGGTCCCTAATCCACGAGCTATACTGATTCCCGAGCAAATTCCACGACAAGAGAAAACAAAACCTGTGAGTTCTGTATTTTTCTGTCCCAAAAAAAGCTTGATTGGTTGTTGAAAGTATTTCAAAAAAACCCTTAAACTTTGCTCTCTTATAATCCATTCTTCTCCAAACTCACTGCATTGCAAGTGGGAAGGAGAAAGATTGCTTGACTTATTCTTGCTCCCTTCAGAGTGGAGAGATACTGTAATAAATGTGAGCATTGGGCATAAAGCTATTTTTTTCAGCACCATCATATCTTTGAATGCTTACCATATAAAACAGTTGCTAGTGACGACTATCTAGAGATAATGTCTGTGTATTTATGCTCAGGTTCCCAAGAATACTTACAAACCACCTAGAATGAAGCAGCATCTAGAAAGAATCAAACTAAAGAATCGCCAGCAGGCAGAGGCAAGTTTAGTATTTTAATAATTTATTTATTTCACTATATTTTCTGGAATTTACCCATATTTGTTGTATTTTGAGATATCAGTGTGGTTTCCAGGGAATTGCTGAAAAGTCATAATCATATCATAATTAACCACTTGTATTTGAATAACTGCTTTTCAAGGTTCTGCTCCAGATTCCTACTTAAGGGATAATTGATTAAACACTTCTGCTACATATTTTTACTGTTCATAAAAAGGCTAAGATACCAAATTAGGCAAGGAAATGGCAAGAGAATGCCAGCCCATTTTAGACTAGTTCATCTTTGTAGGGAGGAGGGTCCATCTCATTGTCACCTTCGGAATTAGATTGTTCCTCATACTAAGAATATGACCTGCAAGTTGGGAGTGATCTAGGTGCAATAATGTTATATAGTTTGTGGGAGAAATTCTTTTGGAGCACATCTTCATTAATGATATGGTCAAAATAGTGAATCCTTAGGATTAGTCAAAGCCATATTTATTAGGAGATATCAAGACTTGTTAATACTGGTTGACACCTTCCAAGTTTCACTGGCATTAATGGCTCCTGGGATCACTATAAAAGGGATCAGTTTAATTTTTAGTGATATAGACAACAAGGACTACATTTTGTTCAACTTCTTGTAAACAGCTGTTGCTTTTACAGTGCGGAGAGGGAGGGAGGGGGAGAGAGAGATAAAGATAAAGAGAGTATTTGCTTTTGTATGTTAAAGAATAAACATTAAATTTCTGGGCAAATAATTAATGACATTAGGTAATCAATTTATATTATGGTTACATACCAGCATTTAATTAATGGCATTAAAATTACATTTTATTTATTTATTACATTTATATTTTCTTTTAGGAACTGCTTCTAGAAGCAAATATTAATCAGTTCAACTGTGCAGCTCCAAAGTTTGATTACAAAAGCAGTGTAAGTAAAACAGAAATCAAGAAATGAATGTAGTTATGAGTAAATGGAAGAATGTAATGTAATAAGATTTATTTATTGTAATGTTATTTAAATAATATTGAATAATTTTTTATTTGATATTGATTTGCAGCATAGGCTATGAGCTCATTCTAAGTTCACTTTTTATGCTGACACAATTTGAAGTTGTTTAGCAATTGCATAACAGCCAGAGGTGGATGTCACATACTGTAACAACCATTTTGCCTAGCACCAGAAATGCATATGGCGTCATAAAACATGGCAATTCGCTTGTGCACGCCGTTCACACATGCATGCAGCATCAGTAAACACAGCAATTAGGTCACGCGCCTTCCGCACATGCATGTGGCATCAAATACACAACGATATAGGGTGAGATTGCGGGTGGGTGGGTAGGGCCACCCATAGGTCGCAACTCCTGGTTTACCCCAGGGGTGGGTTGCTGCCAGCATTATGCTGGTTCGGCATGCAAAAGGTTTTGTACGTGCACGCTCACTTTGCTTGCGCGCACTCCAAATGTGTGCTCCATGCACCTAAAAAGGTCGGTGCATGGGCACAACGTTAGAAAAGAAAACAAATTACATTTCTGCATATGAAGATTGTTCTGCAGATGCGCAGAACCTAAAATCAAGATGGCACCACCGGCAATAGAACCAGTTCGGGGGTGTGGCAGGCTGATTTACTACTTACTTGGCCAAATCAGTCCGAACCGGTAGGAACCCACCTCTGTTTCACCCAAACCAGTCCGAACTGGCAGCAGCCGACCACTGAGAACATCACGTAAGCTGTGAGTCGTTGCTATTATTTATATTTGTAAGATGGCCAGAGTCTTGGTAGTCTGCTGGTAAAGAAAAGAACTGATCAGCACTAGTAATAACAAAAGTGCCAATGTATTACCCTCCTTTATTTTCTTCTATTTCTTCAATTTATTATTGGCAAATAATTTGCATAATCAAATGCATATCTCAAAGGTGCTTTTCACTTTCTTTTTTCCATTGTTTTTTGACCCCAAAGTCCAATTGCCTTTTGAAAAACACCTTTGGGACAACCATGACCTGGATGACTGAGAATCAGTCATCTGAAAATCAAATGCATAATTTGATTTTGAAATGTGCTTTTTTCAATAATAAGTTATATAATAAAATTACAATAACTTTTACTTATAGATGAAGGAAACCCTAAACCTTGTTGAAAAATTTGAGGCCCAAAAGATCAAGTACAAGGTGAGCAGTTCTGGGTAGCCTAATGTTCTAAATCGGTGAGATTCAAAAAAATTCAATTGAAATCAATTTAAAATCATAATCTAAGTAAATATAGTTTCCTTCCTGACCATAAACTCCATATAATTTATATCATTCTATGTGAAAATGATATGTAAAGGAAGAATGTATACCTCACTGTTCATCAACCAATGAATTAATGAAAGAGGAATTCATGAGCCAAATCATGGCCTTATTTTTATTAATGTTAGTTTACTTTAAAACTAACAATAGGATCTTAGAAATATCTTATTAAAAATAAGATCCACTTATTTTCATATGACTTATTTTAGGTAAATAAGATTTGATTTTAGACTAAATATGAAATGAAACATTTTAGGGAATTAATAGATCTTAATATAGTTTGACTGTTAATCATACTTGGGAGGATATGTCACTGATGAAAATAGGAACAGTTTTTTACATTGGATACTATACAACTTATCATCAACTACATGTTAAATAACTAAACAAATCTAAATAACCATTTAAAAATCTACCGTATTTTTCGGAGTATAAGACACACCGGAGTATAAGATGCACTAAGATTTTGAAGAGGCAAATTTTAAAAAAAAAGTTTTTGCACTCTGCAGACCTCCCACAAACAGTCCATTTTTTTGCGAAAACAGGCCCTTTTTTGTCAAATGGGCATGCATAGCCTTTAGGAGACTTATAGAGTGCTCCTGGCAGCTGGGGAGGGAAAGCAGCGCATTTTCCGCTCATTTTTGCCTTCCTCAGCCCCCAGGATCACTCTGGAAGCCTCCTAAAGGCTATGCATGTACATTTTTGCAAAGGGGGCAGGGTTCTGGAGGCCAAAAATGCTGTATTCGGTGTAGAAGATGCACCCAGATTTTCACCCTATTTTTTTGGGGGGGAGGTGCGTTTTATACTCCGAAAAATATGATAATTAGGGAATATGGTACTGTTATATTAATTGTAGACTGTTAAAGATTTCTCTTTTGCAATTTTGCTTCTAAAATATGCATTAATTTATCCAACAGACTGACAGTACTCCTGTTAAGCTAAATGCAGCAGCAATCTTAAGAGAAGGTGTTCTGTACCAAAGAAAAGTGGAACAGGAGCTTAAGAGGTACTTAATCTGTGTCAGATTTTGATAGGTTTTTATGTCTTCTAAAGAATGACTGCATTAAAGGAAATTAAGATACTATCTATTGTTTATAATAAAATTATTCTCCTCTCTTTCAAAATGTGAAAGATTCCAAGGATTATTAATAAAGGTCAGGCTATGTTATCTGAGATATATTAATAGTTGTGGGAATTCTGAATAAGAACATAAGAAGAATCCAAGGCATGACTATTTTAGTAGTTTCAGTTCTCCTAGATGAGGAGAGTTAGTTTGGTGAAGTGGGCTAGAAGCTGGAAGACTGAGTTCTAGTCCCACTTTAGGCACAAAGCCAGTGGGTGAGCTTGGGCCAGTAATAACTATTTATCCCTAGGAAGGATGCAGGGACTTCTCTAGGCAATCTCCAGGAGTCGATGGTACATAAAGATAGAAACATAGCATTAGAAAACTGACAGCAGAAAAAGACCTAGTTGTCCATTGAATCTGCCCTTTGAGTTTTCTGGTTTTTAAAATTATGTATTTATTATTATTATTGTTGTTGTTGTTGTTGTTTGTTGGTTGATGGACACATGGTTATTCCAGACATGTTTAAACTTTGTTACTGATGATTGACCAACAACCTCTGCTAACGTTGATTCCAAGCTTAGGGTATAAGAACCAGATGTGTGTTTCTCAACAGTTGTAATTAAAAGAGGTGCACTTGTGAGAGACTGGAGATAATGAACATTTGTACAAGCTTCGGGTCAACTGTAAAATCAATTTAACATGCTAGAAATCACAGCAGAGTTACTGAGAATCTTCACAGACATTCTTCAAATAGAGGTATACCATTGCCTTTTTTAAGAAGATAGATACCACTCCTTCGTTTAAAGAGGCACCAATGATCTCCCAAATCCAGTCAGTCATTCCTAAAGAAGCCAGATTGGGCAAGGATCCAGCCCGTTGTACAAGACCCAGCTTGCTTATCTCTATCTGTCTGTCTATCATCTGTCTGCCTATATGCCTGCCCCCCCTATCCAGTCTGTGTATCATCTATCACCAATATATTTAGCCCAACTCAACAAAACATAGTAGAAGAGAGCCTAGAAATAAAAATTAAAATAAGCAAGAAAATATTAAAAGACTGAACTAGATGAATTCAAATCATTTGGACCTGATGGATTGCATCCCAAAATTCTAAAGGAACTCACAGATGTTATGTCAGAACCATTGTACCATATCTTTCAAAGATCCTGGAGCATTGGGGAAGGACTACATGTTGGGTGCAGTTTGTCAGCCTGTTACAAATCCATCTGGTGGCGATGCTGTCTATCACATTGATTTTATCAGGAAGTAGATTGTGGTCTACTTTGTCAAACTTCTTACTGAACTTCAAGTATATTATATCCACAGAATTTGTTTGATGGGATCTACCCATGTTAGCTTCTGATTATAACTTTGCTTGCTTCTAGGTGTTAGGTGAAAAAAGCTTATTTCTTGACCTAAAAGAGATGCAGATAACTTACCTAGCGTTTACCCTTAGGGTGTTTGGTTGATATTTGTCTAAGAAAAAGCCTGGAAATGCTAGGAAAATAAGAGGCAGAAGGGAGATGAGCCAAAGGCCCCCACTTATAACTATTCTAACCTTCACATAAGATAGCAGTGTTTGAGTTGTACTGTTTCCCTTCAAAAAACTGTTTTAATTTTTATTATAGAGTCGAACATCTTCTCCAAGGAGCACAGGATCCATCAAAATTTCTGGAATGGCAGCAACAAATGCATAAGAAAGATTTGGACCAACAGCTAACAGAAGCAGAATGTAGAAAACTACAAGGAAAGCTAAGCTATGAGGAAGCTATTTTGGCACGCCAATATTGCATTCAGGAAAAGAAAAAAAATGCTGACCAGAAGAGAGAAGAGGTACTGAGTGTTCTTCAGATTTTATATGGGTTTGAGTTGCACATGTGGGTTATAGATTATAGATACATTATTAAATTATAGACAAACACATTTGGCAGAAAAAGGAGTTTAAGTAGATTCTTGGGGTATGCAGGAAAAACAATGCTTTTCATAAAAATAACCTTTTCTTCTTTTTTCAACCCCAAAAGGATTTGTGTGTAAAGGCTATAATGCATAATGCATGTAAAGTTACTTATTCAAACTTAGTAAGAATAAAAAACTACACAATCTCCCTCTTCCTCTTCATAATACCTCTGTTTTGCTAAGATGCAATTTTGATTTATTGAATCTTGTGAAATTTACTGCTGCATTTAGATATTTCTTCATAGCTTGCAAATCTTTTGGTTTTTTGATATCTTATAGATTGATATTTTATTTCAGATTTCCAATATCTTATATACATGTTGATCAACTTTTAATTACTTGTTTTATGGAGTTTATTTCATTCCTTTGTACTTCCTACCATTGCTGCTCTTTTCAGAATAAATTATTTAACCAAGATAAAGGATGATGGTTACTAAAAATATAAAATACAAACTACATAGGAAATGTTTTGTATTTCAGCATTTGTATTTAAGCTGTAAGCTACTGTAAGTCTAGAAGATATGGCAGCACATTAATTTGAGAGATAGACGATCTCAAAATAGTATGCATAATATTTTCTCCTCCAATTTTCAAGAGAGTGATAACATTCTGAGATTATGAATTATGAAGGTAGCTTTATAATTAATTCTAAGAAAAGAATATGGGTGATAACCACAGAAGTGCCTGGATGGAAAGTTCTATGATTAATACAGGCTTAAGAGGATCCATATAGAGATTAAAGAGAAAGATGTAGAAACAATGAAGAATAGTTAATTATGTTGATCTGAATTTCACTCCCGGTGACCCTTGGGTAAATTCTATTACTATTATAAGGAAATTCCAGGAATCACTTCAATTTTATCCACTCACATTGTCCATTATTTTCCCTTTCTTCTACTACCTTCAGTGCTAAACATATAATTTTTTCTAGTTCAGTTTCGGTTTATATCACTTCACACTCAAGGTTCTCAAACAAACAGCAGGTCCAGAATTGATTGGTTCTCTTTACAGTCTACTGTACAGGTCTTTACCTTTTTCTTTTCCTTTCTTAGTATTCAGCCTTCACAGCCCTGGATTATATTGTCCTAATCATCCTAATATTTGTTATTTTGAAATATCAGTATCTTTTATAATTTGTCTAAATGTGTCATTATTTTCCTCCATAGAAATATTGCCATCTTTACTTCTCCAATAAATTATTTATTTGTATCTATCTTTGAATTCCCACCATAAACAATGCTGTACCTTAATGAAATTGTATCAGTAAAATAATGAACTGGATATTAAGAGGGACATTGAAAAAGAATGGTAAAGAATAGAATAGAATAATAATTTTAAGTTTATTGTCACTTTGAATGTATACTAATCAGCATACATTAAAATGAAATTTCGTTGTATACAGCTCAAAAGATCACCGCCTCCAATATACACTACATAACCATGACAGAATAAATAAACAAATAAATACAAAATTATATATATACCACATATATGACACAGAGAAGCAACACAGTCTAGTTCAGATGTATAAATGTACATGGTGAGAAAATAATGAAGAGTTGAACAACGTGAGTATTTTTAGTTGAACTCGGTCAACAAAAAGCTGAAGGAAAAACACTCCTTTTATTTTGATATATGTCTGTGAATTTTTTTCATGCTCTCACATGGAAAATGAACAGTATATAAAGCAAAACCAATTTTAAACTACTCTTCCAGAAAATTCAAAAATGAAAAAAAATAATCAGTTTTAATATCAAAAAGATTTTAATGCATTTATCTGAGTTTCTCTGCAGATCCCTGCAAGTCTTCATGCACGGTCCACAATAGATTTGCAGAGAAACTGGGATAAAGTTGTGTTTGTATCTTCCTTTCTAATCATTTTAACCTTTGAATTAAGATGTGGAAGACTATTGTGAAGTCATTTAAAACGATCTTTTTTCCAATTAAATCTACTAGATTTACATCTATTTGCTTACCGTACTTGGAAATTATTTTTGGATTTTAGGCAGAAGAAATGCGGCTCCAGTATGCAGAAAGATGTCTTCAAGAAAGGAAGGAAAAAGAAAAAAAGGCTCAGCAAGTGGCAGAGGGACATAAAAATGTGAAGCAAGCACAAATGAAACTCCACAAATGCAAACAGCAAATAGGTATTAAGATTGTTAGATCTATAGACTTTTAACCAAGTTATTTAGCAACTGGAGCATTTATGAACTTGAAGAAATGATGTCATTTCATAAGCATTCTTCTTGTCAGAGCAGTAGCAACGAGATTTGGTGGGAGATTTATCATTATCCCCTCTGTCATGGTCAGGCCATGCCGTAGTGGCCTTGAAATTTTCCAGTGCTGCCCCCTTCTGCAGGGAGACCGGATATATTTGAATAATCCATCCTCAGCAACCAATGGATTCTCCGTGGCTCCAGAGTGAACATGGGGGGGGGGGGATATCCGGAGAATGTCTGCTGTGGAGGCTTTGGCCACAGTTTGCAATCAAAAGGCGGCTGGAGGGCTGACAGGCGCATGTTTATGTGCTCTCTCTTGGCTCATCTCCTGATTCCTCCCTCATAGTTCACAGAATTGTTGAGAGTGTTGAAGAGGGTCAAGAGCCCCACTGGAGGAAGACAAAAAAGGAATCCAATTGATCATAAATGTACTCCCCTCCCCATACCCCACCATTAGCTGCTATTCTGTGACTTTCAGCTATTTTATTTGAGAAGACAAAATGAGAAAACTCATTGGTTTCAGAGATTGTACTTAAAAGCTTTGCACTTAAAAGAGGTTGCACGTAAAAGCTTTACCATCACCAGTGTATAAGCCTCTGAAATTTTTCTTTATATTATCTCTTGAATACTTCAGAACTTAGAGATTTCTAGATAGATTTCATTCTATACAAAATGGATTCCCTATGCTTCCTGGTGATGCTTTTAATCTGTGGAATCCCTAAATGCCACTAAACAATTAAAGAAACTGCTATCCTTATGATGTCTATAGCTGTCATCTGCAGGAATGGGATGGGATGTAATACAAATATGCCTTTTGGAGTCTATGTTGACATTGTCACTGACCATTGGTTCAAGTTACAGAGTAGCAAGAGCTCTTTGAATATATTCTCTAATTACTGAGACCTCCAATTACCATTTACACCAGAATTCATTCTATTTGCAAATCATTTCTGTATTTATTTATCTTTGTCAATAGTATATTAGTAAAGTTTATATCTTTTTCTCTTTTTCTAGTTCAAGAGGTATCTAAAAAAAGCGAGGACATGCTACTTCAAGTTTTAAAAGATGAAGAAGAGAAATTTAAAAAAAGATATGAACTGATTCAGCAAATAAGAGCTATAGAATATGTGCCATTCCTGAAAAATAAATTTATTGACTTAACCAAGGTAAACTCATAATAAAATATTATGGATAAGCCAACAGTGAATCAGAAAAAGAAGATATTTTGTTTATTATAACTTATGAATCCTATCTTATAACTTCTAAAAACTTTTCTCTATTAATTTTTCCAGAGTTTTAGAAAGCATTGTTAAAATGTTGGATACGTTCTGGCAATCCATTTTTCTTAAACTTTTATTCAGGATAATTTGTTCCTTCCAAATTTTCAGGAAAGAAGATTAAAATAATGGCCCATTTAGTTCAGTACCATGAATCTTAATTTGTTTTACTAATAAGATGTCCGTTTGTTTGTGTTCATTCATAATATTAAACCATGAGATTGGGCAACCAAAGGTCCATTTGCCATGTGCCAGCTGTTACATTCCTTTCGTCCTCATGACTGATTCTAAATACTAAATCAGGAGCCAAGAAAGTAACATGTTTTGCCATACACTTTTTCCCATTGAAAATCAAAGATAATCCACAGATTGCTGCTGTTTACCTTGGTTATTTTTGTTTGTACTTCAGTTCTCAAAAAAATTATATGTGAATGCGGTGTTCTTTTTATTTGGTAACAGTAAAGTGACTATACTGTTTCTTTCCATCTACTATATGCATTATTTTATGTTTTCAGATTTTCACTAATTTTTTTATATAGCTACATTGGCTATATGTCAGGGAATTGTGCAGCAGGGGTACAAATGAAGTCAGAGAGGCTGACATAGACTTTATATAAATAAATACATTTTACTATATTTACAACAGACAAGATAGGCTGACAGGAGCATTATGAGATAAATTGTCAGGATACACAGAAGAAAAAGGCAGGAAAAACGGGAAACTCCCCCTCTACGCCCACAGCAGCCAATCACAGCACAGATTGCCTCACACAGGAGTCAGCTCTCTAACCAATCAACCACAACTATGTTCTGGCTCACTGCACAACCTCATTGCTTCAGCCACTTAATTTAATTTTTTTTTTGTCTCCATGTGGATTCTTATGTAAATTAAGATAAAACAGAAATAAGGTGCTTCTGTTTTTCTTTTCCACAGACTGGTAACCATGGTGTACTTGGTGAGATGTCAATTGTGGAACTTCAAGAACGTTTAGCTTTGCTGAAAGAATCCCAGCAAAAAGCAGAAGAAGAGAAGAGGGATCTGATAATCCATGAAAAACATGCGAAGGAACAACTTCTTTTGGATACATTGGATCAAATCTGTATGTTCAGAGAACAATTTGGCAGAGCAGCTGCGTTAAAGTTAGTTTGAAATACGGTAACATTTATGCAGATTCCATTGTTTTAAGCAATGCGATTATTTATGATGAAACGCATGCCATAAAAGTGTGCACACTAAATTTATTTATTTAATAATCTCATAGACAAATAAATAAAGTGTACAATTCAATTGAAAAAAACTGATCCTTTTTCCACCCAAAAATCCTTTGGGTGAAAAAATAACAATAAAACACACAATAATGTGATTGCATAAGTGCATACCCTCTTAGAAATAAGGATATGACTGTTCAGAATTAACCAATGTTAAATAGTAGTCAGTTTGCCATCAATTAAAGGGACTCTGACAAACCCACAGTGCAGCTGTTGTAGTAGGATTTACTAGAACAATTACTTGTTTGCCTCTTACAGTAAAAGTCACGGTCTGCAAAGAGCTCACAAAGCATCAAAGTGATCTCATTGTTGGAAGGTATCCTTCAGTAGAAAGGTATAAAAAAATGTCTAAGGCATTGACTATACCATGGAACACAGTGAAGACAGACATCAAGAAGTAGAGAAAATATAACATAATAGTAATATTACCAAAAATTGGATGTCCCTCTACAATTGATGAAAAAAAAGAAGAAAACTTGGTGCGTGAAGCTGCCAAGAGGTCTACAACAACATTAAAGGAGATGCATGAATTTATAGTGAGTACTGAATGTGTACTACATATGAAAACAGTCTCCCGTATTCTTCATATAAAACATCCAAACCCAGCTACATTTTGCAAAAACCTACATCAAGTCTGACAAAAACAAGTGACAGTTAAAGCATTGTGGTGGCAGCATTAAGCTTTGGGTCTGCTTTTCTTCAACTGGAACTGAGGCTTTAATCAAGGTGGAGGGAATTATGAACCGTTGCAAATATCAGCCAATTTCAATACAAAACCTTCAAGCCTCAGCTAAAATGCTGAAGAGGCATTTCACGTTTCAACATGACAGCAACCCAAACCATGCCTCCAAATCAACAAAAAGAGTGGCTTCCCCAGAAGATCATCAAGGTTTTGGAATGGCCCAGCTATCCAGTTGGAATGTATCCAATTGAAAATCTGTGGGGTGACTTGAAGAGGATTGCACAGAAGCTGCTGTCGCAATCTGGCAGGTTTGGAACATTTTTGCAAGAAAGAATGAACAAAGGTTCCCAAGAAAAAAATTGCCAAAAAGCTCCTCCCCCAAAGGTGCTTCAAACAAAATATTAGTTTTAAGGACTCTGCACACTTACACAACTCTGTTATTTTACGTTTTTATTCTCCCTCCCCCCACCCCCAAGAATTTTTGTTTTTCTATCGAATTGTACAGCTTGTATGTTAAAAGCTGGAAAAAAGTCTGAAGTGATTTATCTTGATCTGATATTTTTACATCCTCCAAACCTGGCATTTTTACAGGGACGTTTAGACTTTTTATACCCTCTGTATATCTTGCCCCTCTTTGCTGCCATCTTCTCTGAGTATTGTCCCAAGGATAGGAGATAAGGATATCTTCAGAGGGATTGATGCATGATCTGACATGGACATTATTTTTTTCTATTCCTCTTTTACTCTTGCTCCATTTTCCAAGATATAATTACCGGTAAGTATATTTCTACTTTGGGAAACAAGATAGGAATCTAGACAAAGCAATACAAACATGCACAGAGCTCATCACATAATTGGCCCCGAGAAGCCCTTCCACTCCATAAGTTCTAATGGATGTCCTACAGACAATTTATAGACAGCTGCCTACTGTATGTGAGTAACTCCATAGAACCAAGATTTCATTGAAAAATATGTGTTCATGGTAAGATTTCATCACCGCTCCAAGTGCTGTAGTTTTCCTTTGCACTGAATTGTTCTGGGCTATTAATGTTTTAGTTGCCCTTCATTTTATATAATCCTCGACTTAACGACCACTGTCACTAAGTGATGTAGTTAAGTGAACCATCATATGACCATGCCCCATTTTACCTTTATTGCTGCGTTTGTTGAAGGAATCATGTCATTAAACGAGTTCTGCTTTCCCCATTGATTTTATGTGTCAGAAGCTGGCTAAGAGAACTGAAAATGGTGATCAGGCGACACTAGAACACTTCAACAGTCAAAAATAATTTACTAGGCACCTGAACTGCGATCTTACGACCACGGGACGCTGCAATAGTCATAAGTGCAAGGACTGGTAGTGGGTCACTTTTTTCAGCACCGTTCTAACTTTGGTCGCTAAGCAAATGGCCATAATTCAATGGCTATCTGTATTTCAAATGAATCGGATACTCTGAATTAGCACTCAGCTTTAGGAATTGGCTTACGTTTCTTGGCATTAAATCAGATTGCTGTACAGTTGGAAGTTATGTAACCTGAAAAGCAATCTCAGCTAATGTGTGTTTCCTACCTATTTATTGCTAGCTTTTTTTATGGTGGGCAAAATGGAGAGATAACTATTTTGCTGTTGCAACTCATTCAAAAGAAGTATATGAGAGTTCCATTAAGAAGACATTCCTGGTGTATTTTTTGAGGAAATTGGAACTCTCTGCCAGGGACTATAGATCTACAACTTTAATTCCTTTTAATTTATTTATGAAGAAATAAGGGCACAATTTAGCTGGATGCATGTCTCATAATGCCTTTTGTTTAGAATGGAACCATGCTTGGATGTGTATTTTTCTTCTTGTATGTCTTTCTCATTAAGTTGTAATTAAGTCATTGTTTCTGGATAACAACTAATTGCAAAGTGTTATCTATTGTATCATTTTTTTAGACAGGAGGAAAAGAAAACTAAGGTGTCGCCTCGTGAAGCCATTTTAAAAGAGGAACAAGTTTTAGATCTACAAAAAAAAATTATGGAAAAGTCTACTGAACGTAAAATGCAATCTGAATATTTAAAAACTAAATGTATGAAGTCTAATGGGAAATCAAAGAAAATTTGGAAGTTAGACAAAGTAAGGAAAGGAAAATAGCCCTTTATTTTGCATCTTATAAAACAATCAGACTGTTCTCTCTTAATTTAATGGGTTTTTGAAGCATGTGTGGAAATTGGAATAATTGTATATTCTTGTTTTACACTTGAAAAAATTAAGCATACACCCATACATTTAATATATTCTATATCTTGGTCGTAGAACATAAATTTCCATTCCTCATATATAACACTCATACTATGCATGAAAATATGACATCGAGTTTCAAAAAAGTTAAAATTTATATAAAACAGCTGATTCAAATGTTAATCAAGTAAATATATGTTGAAATTTAAAGTATAATTTCAATACACACTTCAGTACTTGATTAATATCTGAAACTTTTTGAAACTTACATTTTCAAAGAGAAAAATAGAAAGGAGAAAAAATGTTCTTAAATAACTAAAGAGCATTTTTGTCCATTTGTTCTCTTTTAATTGCTTTTCAAATTTACTATAAGGCCATCATTTCCCAATTTTATTCCATCAGTGCTCACCAAAGGCTAAAGTGCAGATTGGTGGGGTGGCCATCACGTACACATTAATCCCAACTGCTTGGAAGATATCACTCTTCTTTTGCCCTCCTTCAGAAGGCACGAGGCAAGTGATGCGCATGTTCAAGCCAAGGTGAAACCATTGGTGAAGTGGGATTTGCAGAATTGGCTTTAAGATGACACCTGCATCTGGAGGAAAACATTGTTTTTTTAAATTTAAATTGGCAGCAGTAGCCTGCTGCTGGGCAATACGGCAATCACAAGAAGCATCCTCTCCTCACTGATGGTTCTGGGTCTATCTCACCTGCTGAGCAAGGAGAGAAGTGCTCTGCTGAACACTTAATGAGGACACTCGCAATTCCACACAGCATTGCTTTCTGACAAGCAATGCTTTAATTTTAAAATGCCTACATAGAGCACATGCGTGCTAATCGTTTCCGTCTCTAGGGGCGGTGCTCATCTCCGTTTCTAAGCCAAAGACCTTCCCACCAAAGGTGGTTCCTATTTTTCTACCTGCATTTTTTACGTGCTTTCGAACTGTTAGGTTGGCAGAAGCTGGGACAAATAACAGGAGCTCACTCCATTACACGGCATTAGGGATTTGAACTGCTGAACTGCCGACCTGATCGACAAGCTCAACATCTTAGCCACTGAGCAACCGCATCCCACAATGCCTACATAGCAATTGCTTAATAATCGGTTCTAGAATTTTGTCTTAAGTTTATTGTTTTCAAATAACAGCTTTTTTCCTGTTATTTGAAGACAAAACAACGGTTCCACCACAAAACCACATTCGACTAAAGGGCGCTCGACGAAACCGCGTAGCTGATGTCATCACAGCGCGACAACAGCGTGGAGAAAAAAGCATGCTGTAAACGCTAAACCTAAAATTAACCCCTAAACCTAAACCTAACCCCCCTAAACCTAACCCTAAACCTAACCCTTAACCCTAAACCTAACCCTCACCCTTAACCTAACCCTCACCCTTAACCTAACCCTAACCCTAATCCTAATCCTTAACCTAACCCTAAACCTAACCCTTAACCTAAACCTAATCCTAACCCTTAACCTAAACCTAACCCTAACCTTTAACCTAACCCTAAACCTAACCCTCACCCTTAACCTAACCCTAACCCTAACCCTAACCCTTACCTTAACTTGAATTGGCTTGCTTTCAAAGCGCTATTTAAAGCGCCCTTCTTTCTCCGCGCTCGCAGTTGTCGCCCTGTTGATGACGTCAGTGACGCGATTTAATCGGGCGCTCTTTAGTCGAGCGCGGTTTTGTCGTGCCATGCAAAACAACAGCACCTTCTCCCATTCTATGTTACTGTGGTGGCGCAGTGGTTAGAATGCAGTACTGTAGGCTAACTCACGGCTTACTCCAGTTCAATTCTGAGTGGCTCAAGGTTGACTCAGCCTTCCATCCTTCTGAGGTCGGTAAAATAAGGATCCAGATTGTTGGGGGCAATATGCTGACTTTGTAAACCACTTAGAGGTTTGGAAAGTACTATGAAGTTTTTTTTAAGTCTAAGTACTATTGCTATTACCATATCCATTTGCATGAGGAACTTTCAGAGAAAGGGGTCTAAAATTATATTTGCCTCACCTTCATAAGGAACTTCATGGCATCACTTAACTAATTAGTTTTTGCAGGTTGTGTCCACATTACATTGATCACACTCTCAGTTCATTGTTGAGATAACCTAGTCCAGTGCTTAGTTGTTTCAGATTGGAAATGGCATTTCATTCTTTTGACATAGAATTTCGAAGGGGCCAATTTAGTGCATGTAGAACTGAAGCAAGGAATGACACTGTTAGCAAATGGTTGTACTTTTTAGTATCTTTTTTTAAAAATCCTGACCCCTCTGTGATCATTTTGATCTGAGAAGTTCAGTCCATGGGAGTTTATTTTAATTGGCTTTCCAGAAAGTGATAAAAGGTGAATAATACAGGGGTTGAAAAATTCAAGCTCTTCCTGTCACTCAAGTACCTAGGAAATATTTGGAATACCAAATACCAGCTGCCCCAATGAAGAAAGAAGAGAGGTCACTTCAATTTATTGCAATAAAACAATCAGAGGAAAATTTTAGATAGCTTAATGAAGGGTCACATAAAAGGGTTGTTTTTTCTTGTGTCTTCCCAATCTTTTCCAAGTTTCACTGAGACTTTGTAGTCAAACCATTACCAGGTGACCTAGGTGCAGGATCTTAGGGATGTATTAACAAACCTTAGGGATGTTGAAGGAAATCCTACTTGTGTATGGTGGGCCACCTCAATCAGCATTGTGGACCACTTGCGACATCTGGATGGACTTCAAGAGCCACCTCATGTAGAGCATGTTGCAATGATTATTTTATTTAACATGTTTGAATTAATATTAGCATACTCTATATTTTGCTTTCACAGAAATCTCAAGGAGAGGATCGCTGGAAGAAATTGGAAGAAAGTCGACAACAGCAATTTAAAATGCTTCAGCATGGTCTTGTGTCTAGAGATAATGCTCAAAAAATGATGCTAAATGAAGCTTTGAGAACTGGAACCACTGTTTGTATATTACGACAAGATTTCTAGATATACTGCTGCTTATTAGACATTTTACTACTCAATTTCTGATTTCTTGAACTATTTTACACTTTAGATATGGTTATTAACTGGCAGCTGTTTTTGGAATTATATATTGCTTTACAGAAATTAGCCATTATAAATAATGCTAGTTTTCAAAATAAGTATGCAGTACTTTTTAAATATTATGTTTTTCAAATAAATAAAAAGGAGACAAATAAATGCATTTTAATATTTTAAAATATTTTCTCATTTAAGCAAAGATATTTCAGATGAATTTCTTCAATGATTTTATTTTATGAGGGCCGTTAGTATTGTATAATTGTATGTAATTCAATATAACATGAAGTTTTCCAACATCAGACTTTTCTAGTATGGTCCTATCCCTCGGGAATATTCTCCCTTGAAATGTTAGGATAACCCTGATCTTGGCTTTTTTGTAAGGCTGTGAAGATTTAGTTATGTTACTTGGGCCTGGGGACCTGAGTATGTTAAGAGCCCTGTTTGCTGGCTGCATCTATAAGAACACTTTTAATCAGTGCCATTTATATTTATTTTGAACTGTTTTATTAATAGGTTTGCTTTTATTATGTCTTATCTCATGTCAGAAATGCAGGATCTAGAAAGAGGAGGGACATTATTTAATATTTAAAAAACTAAAAGCTTTAATAAAATATAGATTAAAATTCTGGTTACAATGCAGTAAGTGTAGTTTGATCCTGATGGGGCTCGAGACTAACTCAGGCTTACATTCTTTGGTAAAATGAGCTGCAGATGGTTGTGGGAAATATGCCCAGAGATTGCTGTAAAGAACCATGTGGTGGTATGTGCTATTGCTATAATTCAAGCTCAATAATGGGCCATGTTAGTGGCAGAAACATATCCGGCCAGCAAGTCGTTCTGTGTGCAAATCGGTCCCAGAGGGCACTGTAAAAAAATAGATACTTGTTTGGATAGTGCCACATTTACAGTGAATATCTTCATCCTCAGAGAGAAACCCCCATTTTTCCATTTAATCTTTAGTTCTAGACAGATCAGTACATTTTATTATGCACTGCCCAGTGTCATTTGTTGATTTGGGGCGGCTACAGAAACCAATTCATTCAATCAATCAATTAACTTCATAACATTACTCCAAATGGGGATATAGAGAACATGATCAAAACATGTGAGTTAAGATGTTCTTGAATTTCTTGCAACACTAATAAATGATAAATCCATCCTTTACAAAATATTCTACATACTGTCCCACAGAGATTAATAGTTTGATGGATTAATTTAAGCTTTAATTCATAGGGCATAAACTTTGTATTTTTCAAAACACGAATCCATTGAGTCCTTTGACAGAACCAGAGTTTCCAGTTGTTGATTTTGAGCTTCTTGTACATATTTTAAACCATTTCTTTTAACTTTTGACATAAGAAAGAAGTAGGTTTGGATTCTGAAATTAATTCTTTAGTATTAATAACATTGAGTATGTTAGAAGTTGCTAAAGCATCAGATCCATGTTGAGAGGTCAAGCATATTTTAACTGGATATACTGTATCTCCATTGTTGCATCGATAGTAAAGAAAATTTTATATTCAGACTTGTAAGACAATGTACTATAAAGTAGAATTGGGTCATCTGTCTGGTCTAACTGGTAAAGACACCCTTTCTGCCTCAAATCTCTCTCATTTTATTTGTGGATGTATTAAAATAGCCTCAAAGTATCTTTCAGTTTGGTGGTGGCTGTTACATAAAAGTTTTGCTCCTCTCTAGAAAGGAGCTGCATCTGTTCACAGATATTAAAGCTGAGTGCAATAGGAAGGGGTTACTTAAGATGTATGGTAAAACTAGAGATAGGCTTAAGAATAAACAAGTGATGAATGGAAGTGGACTAAATACAAAAACAGCCAGTGCAGGAAATATGTATTTCAAGACAATTTGGTCATAGAGACATTGAACATCATTTCAAGAGAAAGGTATGACGAGTATGCTGAATAGAATTGTTGAGATCTAAAAATAAAAAGGTGAGAACTTTGAAAAAAAAGACGTGCATTGTGAAAGTTGTTCAATTTAATCCACTGTCCTCTGTTTTCAACATACATCATCAGTACATACTTATGGGAGGGAATGGGTCCAAAACATAGCTCTACCTTTGAATTCTCTCTAGTTAACATTTGGTGAGAAACTAATTTGTTAGTTTTCTTTTCAACGCATCTGAAACAGCCCTTAATCTTCATTATTCAGCACTGTAATTTTGAACTGCAAATGTGTTTTCTATTATATGCTCCATTGGGACACTCCTCTTGAGATGCTTTTTTGCTTTTGACTCTTTGACAATGTTCCAGGTGAACTTGTACTCTGAGAAAATCAGTGTCACCATCTCATTATTATGCCCAAATAATTCCCTCAGACTAGAGGAATGAACTGCTTCTACAAGTCTCAGCAGGAAGAAAAAATAACCTTTCCCTAAAATTAGCTCTCTGGGCAGAAGAAAGCGCATTTGTCACTGATCAGAATCGACAATCAAGGTATAACCTTCATCATAAGCAACACAAAAACATTTCTGAGGCTGGCTTTGCCCTTTTTATGCAGTTATAGAAACAACAGATGGCCCTGTGTGCTGATTGGATGTTTTGGAAAAGGTCAGAATCCTTTTTTGGATTGGTGAAAGTCTTGATAGATTTACTCACTGACTTCTACCAGGCCAGCGCTATCCACCCTGCACCAGCATTAATATGCTCTGGGTCATTGGTCTGCTATCAAACCTTAATGTGAGTGGAGATTCTCAGTCATTCAGGTCATCAATGTCCCAAAAGTGCTTTCTCACAGGTAACTGGACTATTTTTCCTTGACGAAGTAGATACTGAAAGGATGGTGGGTGGGGATGGAAGTATTTCTTTGCAGTCATCTGCTCGTTAGTACTCACTTTCTCTCAGAGCCATTGAGGCCACTTGGGGGTTTATCTGTGCCCCCAAGGTCACCTGAATCAGAGTGCAATTGGTTGTGAATCTTCTTGGAACTTGTTGTGGCTCGCCAGCTACCATTGGAGCTGGGGCAAACTCGGACAATGAGGAGGTTGGGGAGGAACCTGGCCAGTTCTGGAGTCTGAGGAGGGTTCTGATGGATGTTCTGCGTAGGATGCAGAGATAGAGCCAGGGCTGTTCGACATTTCCCAGCCACCAGAGAGTCAGTTGCAAATGGAGGCTGAGAACTGATAGGAGAGGAGAACAACTGAGGATAAGGAGTCGACTTGGGAATAGCAATATAGCAGTAGACTTATATACCGCTTCATAGGCCTTTCAGGCCTCTCTAAGCGGTTTACAGAGAGTCAGCATATTGCCCCCGCATGCTGAATGGCCCCCCTAGCTGTGGAAAAAATAGAAGGGGAGTGGTGGTCGTAGGAGACATCAGTTTGCATTTCAGAAGATTTGGATCATGTTTTGTGCTCAGAGTTTGCTTGCCAGAACTTAATTTGCAGCATTTCTGCTGGGAGCTCACGGTCTGGCAATTATCTCAAAGAACTGATAAGGTCTGTTACTGCAACTAACTCTTTGCAGGACTATTGCCTGAACTTTTCAGTGGGTGAATGCAATTAATTCACAGGAGATAAATAAAGAGAGGGGGTTTGGGACAAGAAGTCTGTTTATTGGTTCTGCTAAGTTAAGAACAGAACTGCTGAAAGGGCTGTGTTGTAGACTGGAGATAGGTGGTGTCTTATTCCTCCTCTGTTGAAGGAGGACTGTGCAGTGCACATTAAGGAAGACAACAGCCTTAGCATTGAGGTTTACAGACCCCCCCCCCTCCCCAGAGATCAAGATTTATTTTTTCACTCACCACCCTTTGAAGCACAAAAATGGGAGTGATCAGAACCCTAAACCACCAGGCTGAAACTTTGCCTACCAGGGAAAAGAAAAAAACTAAAATATGTTAGAACTTATTCTAACTGGGGCCTTCATCAAATTAAAAAAAAACACACCCAACTCTTCCATTATAGGGGGGGGGGGAGGAACAATAAACATAGCAACATTGCCATTCCATGCATTGCAGGAATATCTGAAAAGCTCAGGAGAATTTTCAACCAACACATCATACATGTAGATCTTACACTCAAGAATAAACTAATACAGAAGCTTGGCCACCCCAAGGATAAAACACCCAACGCAAACTGAGTAATGTGATATATGCAATTCAATGCAGTGAGATGTGCAAATCTGTACATTGATGAAACAAAACCACTTCACAAGTGCACGGCAGGACAAGATTCAGCGACCCATCTGCATTTGAAAGATAAAGGTCACTTTTTTGAAGACAGCAAAGTCCACATTTCAGACAGAGAGGACCAATGGTTTGAAAGAGTAAAAGAATCCATCCATCCATCTTAGAACTAAACACTCCTCCCTCAACATAGGGGGAGGAATAGGCCACTACTTATCTCCAGTCTACAACACAGCCCTTTCGCAGTTCCAAGAACCAACCAACCAATTGCACACTGATTCAGATGATCTCTAGTGCACGGATAAACCCCACAAGTGGCCTCAACAGCTTTCAGATAGAATGCTAACAACCAGATGGCTGCAAAGAAATACCATCCTTCCATCCCCATCCACCATCTTGTCAGAATCTATCCTTCCATCACCTCACCATCACAACTGATGAAGCTTGGTGGATATGAAAAAAAACATTTTTCTTCTTCCTCAAGGAAAAACAGTCCAGTTGCCTTTTGAAGAAGCACCTTTGAGATACCAAGCCTTAAGCATTTTTTATATTCCTCCAACTGCCAGCATGCTGTAAAACAGCAAGTCACTTACTCTATTTATTACATAAAAAAGCATATTTATTCTTTTTTGTAACAATATCTGAAAGTGTTGTAAGATCCTTAAAAAACACAAATCACAATAATTAAAGCGTCTTCTATTTAATAACAAGAAAATCCTTCCTTTGTTTTTGCTTTTTAATCTGCCAGATAAGAATAATGATCTAACATGATATGTTACTTCCAGAACAGAAACATGGTTTTCAGCTGGTTTGATGGAATACAAGGCCCTTCACTATGAGAAAGTTGGCCTAGTACAATGAAACCTCAATACTAAAAACTAAAAGAACATATTTGAAAACCAAGGGATTATAAGACATTTTCAATACAGAATCCTGTCAAGTCTCATTATAATGTGTCTGTGTGCATACAAACAGACACACACACATATATACATATATATCTGTATGTATGTATGTACTCTAAAGTGCATCTTTTAAGACTTGACGAGTGAAAGGACATTTTCAATTATAAAATACTTAACACAAGATATATAATAATTGTTAAATCAGAATGTACATTTTTAAAAACTAATGTTTAAATTTTGATTCACTAAAGAATAAAAGATGTCAGTTACAAGAGTGTTACATCATTCTTCAGAATTATAGAGCTTTGGATGATCTTGTTACTTGCAAGATTTGAAATACAGTAAAGAAAAACAGTTCAGTCACGGACCATAAAATTATGCTTAGATTTTGGGAAGCTTTGGTGCACTGACAACAGGATTGGAGTCCTGCAAGAATCTCCTTCCTGCATTCTTGTAGTCATAAGTACAGGTGTGAGTCTCTGCATAGCGATGAGTTGCGCAGAAGTTGTTTCCACATCTGAAGAAAAAAAACGAAGGGTTAGAAAATAGAAAGACAAAAACTAAAAAAAAAGTTTACAAATCTTCAAAAACAAGACAATAAAAAAGAGCAACTCAAACTGTATGGGCATGGATGTAAGTGGGTGTGTGAGTATACAATTATAAAAAGAACATTTTAACATTTCAAACACTCATATTCAACCTTTCTTTCTAGAACATATAATTTACTAGAAAAAAATGTTAAATAAAGCAATAGAGACCACATTTCAATAAATTATTTTCTATTGTCAGCTTTTTCAAATCTTTGTTCTATGACTTTCTTGTCCAAGCAATTCCCCATTTTTTAAATATACTAAACCAATGGAAATTACTAGTTTAATTTTCCAATGTTTGAAACAACAAACCTGGCAGATAAGAGAAACTGTTAACACAGATTTTTAAATACTGTATTTTACCCTCAAAATGAGGTTCACAAAATATAGGCATTCTTCATCACTTTTTAATTCTGTAATCTCAACTTCATTTAAGAGGACTTTTGTTATGTTGGAAAACTGGAGTAAGAAGCACCAGTTGATGGAGGTATTTTATCAATAAAGATCAAAAAATGTTTTACAATTTTTAACTTTTTCCCACTGAAGATCAAAAATGATCCCTAGCTAAATACAGCATATTTTCAAAACAACAAACAATATTCCAAGAAGGAATAGGACAGGAAGTATAAATTCAATACAAAATGGCCTTAATGAATCATTTTATAGAAAAATGGAAACAAAACCATTCCACAGAGACATTATGAACTGATAAATTCTTTTTAGAAACAGAAAAAAGAATAAAAACTAAGGAATCTCTATCAGATAAAGTCATAAAACATTCTATTAGGTCTCTTATGAGAAACTTCAATGGTAGACCCCTGTGGTGGTTGATTTACGACCGAAAATCTAGAAGGCATTTTTTTGCCATTTTGTTGCAAGGCACAGATCAAGACTCAAAGGGTTTCTTAAAAAAACAGAGAAGGGAGGGAAGCTAATGCTAATCAGTAAGGGTGGTAATATTCAATACTGTATTTGGCAAACTTGGAAAACTGCCATATAGCCTGTAATCCACAACACAAAAATTGACAATTCCAGAAAAAACAAAATAGATATGTAATGCTAAAATTAGTTGGGGTGGTTGTTGCAAAAATGGCAAGAGGCAATCCTATGTATGCCACTGTCCTGAATGAAAGGTAAAATATAAAACTAATAAATAATATAGAATATAAATCCCATAAAAAACGCAATTGTGGAATAAAAAAAAAACAAATCACATTTGCTGTTATACAAACAAGCAGTCAATTCCAAACATATGACCCAAAATTACTAAATTCTGAATCAGAATCAGGTAAAAATTCAAGATTTAACTGAAGACTATATAAAATAATGGAGAGTTAGTGTGGTGTTACAATTAAGGATTAGGAGCAGGAAATCCCATGTTGTTCTCCTCCTGTAGGCATGGAAGATTGCTAAGTGACTTGGGGCCAGATCCTTCCTTTGAGCTTTTATCAGTAGCAATGACAAGCCAATTGTAAAAAAAAATCTCTCACTGCACCAGGCTGAAGTCCAAGGGAAGAAGCAAGTGGATGAATGCTAAAATAAGCAGACTCTTCGGCCCAAACACCAAGAAAAACAATCGGCTAAAATTGTTGCCATTAATGTTTACATCCCAAAATCTCATTTATTTATAATAATTCTCTATTTAAAAAATTATTATTTTAGAGGGAATAAAATCCAATTTGTAAGGAAAACAGGACATTTCTTGATGTAAATTTAGTTCATGGAATTAGCAGTGAATACAATAACCCTTCAATTATAGTCAAGCACTGCTAAATTTAAGGTCACCTTCATATTTACATAGAGACAATGAAAGAGAATGACGGACAAGAAACCTGCTTCTGTTAATTTTTAATTACAGGTTGCATTTCTTTTATTTTAGTCTACTGGCTGAAAAGTGAAAGATTGGTCTTAACAGCATTATTTATATCAATAAATAATTTAGCACTTATCCCAATGAATCGCTTTCTATTTGTTTTGCTTCAATAATGGTAAGTAGTTTTAGGATGCAAATTCAACCTACCTACATTCATAGCTAGTTGCTAATCCAGTTTTCTTTCCACATAGGAAGCAATGTTTTGCAATTTTCTTTTTATGCTGAATAGAACAATTCACAGGTGGAAGATGAGTGGTATCACCTGCTTTCAAAAAAGTAAAATATTCATAATTATTTTGTACATTTGCTATGAAATATATGATACAAGGGAAAAGCAGCTGCCAAGAAACACATATGGGTTTTTAAAAAATCAAAATATGGCATATTACTGATTTTCTCAGGCAGCAGTAAAAGTTTAATTTACCTTTTTTAAACAAGTTAATATAGTATATTAAACAACTGTAAAGTTATATTGCATATCTATTGGACCATACCTGTTAATTAAAACCTATTCATTTAAAAAACTTACAAAATTATTGTACTGATAGTTCTTCTACATCAATATGGATAATAGTCTAGTGCTGATTTGCTAATTCAAAACCATCAACATTCATTTTATGCGCTGCTTGTGGTTTTTGAGAAATCAGAGTTATACTTGAGTTTACAAAGGCTATATAAAGCATCAAAAGGTTACTTCTCCAACTTCATTCCGTTTCTTCTGAATTAAGTAATAAAAAAAGAGAACTCAATAGAATGTTTCCATTCATAAAGACAAGATACAGAGAGAGATGATGCTAAGAGATAGGTAAACTGCTTCTTGCTTAGGATTTGTTTTGTTAAATATGTAATTTCAACCTGACAGCTAGTATAGTATTATAAAAATGAAATGTATGCTTTAAGCATTCTATGAACAAAAACAGGACAGGGGTTATTGGGACCTACTATGTGAATCAAAGGTTACTGAATATCTTATTTTGAGGAGACACAGATTGAACAAAGCTTGTTTAAAGGCCTCACATGGAACTTTTCTGTTTTACTCAATGGAATGGTGAAAGAATACAAGTTGGCATGTTAAATAAGTTCATGGAAATATTTGATAGACAATAAACCACAGTGATACTCTATAGTATAGAAGCTACTCTTCATTTGAAGATGGAGATAATGTATTTACAGTTTCATATAATTAAAACCAACAATGATATTTAGCTTATCTATATGTACTTAAAAGTTTGTGAATGATTTTTAATTTTCAGTATTTCTGCATAAATATGACCTAAAATGTGTCATGTGTTCTACATACAAATCATAAAACTAGATAAAGTTGTAGTTAAACAAATGAGTCAAAAGCAAACTGGTTCATTTATTTATTGTGGAAAATGATGTAAAGCTAGATGTTTGTATGTGGCAAAAGTATGAGAACTGCTAGGATTATCATTTAAATTATCATTTAGGATTATCATTTATAGTTCATTTAAAATTAGTCAGGTTTTTCAACCAATGGGATGATAATCAGCTGTAAGTGTGGAAGATTCTGTCATATTTAAAGAATAGAATTCTGGGTATTTTATCCTTAATTAAATAAGCCAATTCTATATTTCTTCCTTTTAGAATACAGAATAACAGAGTTGGAAGGGACCTTGGATGTCTTCTAGTCCAACCCACTGCCTAGAGTGGAAACTCTACACCACTTCAGTCAAATGGTTATCCAACATCTTCTTAAAAACTTCCAGCATTCACAACTTCTGGAGGCAAGTTGTTCCATTGATTAATTGTTCTAACTGTCAGGAAATTTCTCCTCAGTTCTAAGTTGCTTCTCTCCTTGATTAGTTTCCACCCATTGCTTCTTGTTCTACCCTCTGGTGCTTTGGAGAATAGTTTGACTTCTTCTTCTTTGTGGCAACCCCTGAGCTATTGGAACACTGCTATCATGTCTCCCCTAGTCCTTCTTTTCACTAAACTAGACATATCCAGTTTCTGCAACCGTTCTTCATATGTTCTACTTCTAACCATCTTAATCTTTACTTTGTTCAAATACTATCATGTAATTTGATTTATCTTCATTTCTTGTTGTTCCATTTAACAAGCCTTTTTTGTAAATCCAACAGGAAAAAATTAACCAGGACACTCCCTTGGTTTGTCAATTGCAGATATAGTAAAACACCCTTTTCTAAACAATTCTCTTGGTCTGTCAATTGTAAACCAAATTTCAGTATCTCTATCTTGCCAGATAAAATTTGTTCTACATCCAACACATAAAACAATATTTTCCCCCAAAAGTCTATTAAAAGCAGACATCATTACTAACACTGTTGTTATTTTGGCTACTATTTTCTGCTTCTATTCTTCCAAAGTTTCTTTCAGTATTTTTACTCTCACATTTTGCATCATCTTGGCCTGTACATCTTTCCTCTACCTAAAATCTTTAATCCACTATAGTTCCCATTTTTTGAAGTCATGAACTATCTACATGTAGTTCTTGACTTGTGGCCAGTTGTTCAATGACTGTTTGAAGATAGTATGGCCAGAGAAAGGGTGGTCCATAAAAAGCACTTCCAGCTGTCATAAAACATTATGCTGACCCACTAGGGTCACACAATCACTATCTGGGTACTTGACCACCTGTTTGCAGTTACAACTTGTTGACAAGCACTCTGAAATGGTACGATCGCCATTTGCAATCTTTTCTGCCGGCTTCCAGAGAGTCACTGGGGAAGCTGGTAGGGAAGGTTGAAAGCACCTGCTAAGAGGATTTCTTCTTGTCCCTGAATATCTGAATTCTGTTCTTGTACCTCGCCAAAGGAGTTCCCTTCCACACATGAAGGAGAGCTGGCATCATATTTCATATTATAAATCAACTTTGGTCTGCTAGTCTGTTCCATAATTTTTGCATGTTGGCTCTTTTTTTCCAGAACTGGTGCCTTCTTTTCAGATATTCTTGTTGGATTGTATTTGTAATAATAGATTGCTTTTTTTAGTCTTTGTTTATTTGTGTCAGGCAAGCAACCTTTCTTCCAGTGGACTTGCAGCTGCTGGTCAATAATTTTGAGTCTTATAGCCTCATTTGTCACCAAATGTCCAGAAACTCCAACACCTAATGCGGTGCTTGTTGACATTGGTGATGAGTGATCTGGTATGGGTATCTGTACACTTATATTGTACACTTATATTATATTGTATATTGTTTATGGAGAGACACATTACATCTGGCTCCTCTAATGGGATCTGCTCAGCATGGTATATGTCTCAGCTTTCTTCCCAAAGCTTCTCAACTCTCTCTCATACACCTTCTCTTCCCTGGGCATGCACTTTGTGCCTTTACAAACGTAACGGGACTTTCTGCATTGCCTTGTTAAGTGGTGAAATCATGTGACATCAAACACATTGCTTAGCAGTGGAAATACTGAACCTAATTGCAGTTGTAACTCATAAACTATCTATATTCTGTCTTACACTGGCTAGTTATGGAGACTGTTTTTCACACTGAATGGGAATTGAAAGCTGCGTATCTGCACTTGATGCATAGCAGCAGCTAATTGAAGGAGCCTCAACACTTGCAGATATGTGACATTTCATAAATCTATGATTTACAGAAAAGTCTTATACAATTCTCCTTTCTGTGTTTATTTAAATAGGGAATCACTATAAATGGCAATCTCTGAAGATTCCAGATTGGTTACTCACCCATTCTTTTTCCTGAAGCCACAATATTTCCATTCAATCCAACTCCAGGAGACTAAAATATAAAGGGTGGAAAGAATAATGAATGTGAACACAAGCAATGAATAAATGAATTAAAATATTTTAAATAAATTTCTTCTACAAATCTGAATATTAAATGTCTGATTGCAAACAACTGAATTCTAATAGTAGAGAGAAAAAAAAGAAATGCAAATGTGTTCTGTATACAACTTAATAAAGTTCATTGTACAACATGTAACTAGAGAATACAATTGGCTAGGACATCACACACTTTTAGCATAGCATAAAGGATTTTTAAAAATCCAATTAAACATAAACATTAAATGAATTTGACTAACACTTATATCTCACTTGTTTTTTTCACAACTCAAGCTGCCTTCTACCATGGTACCTCAGTACTTATCATTAATTGGCTCTGGAAGGCACAAGAGTACCAAAAATGATTTGTAAAATGATTTGTTATTTATAATCATGATAATTTCTGCTAAGCAATTTATTATTTTTGCAAACTTAATCTGTTCCAGAGTTTTGCCCATATTAGGTGCAGTTATCCAGATCTTTTTCTTTCTTTCTTGGAAAAGAGGTACAATATTTGCCTTTCTTCAGTTCTCCAGCACTACACTTGACTGGTATGATTTGTCAAAGATGTGAAAGGTTCTCAAAAATGAATCTTCAGAAATTCTTAGATGTAATTGATCTGGTACTGTAGTCTTCAGTTTCGTTGATGTTCTCTAACAATCTCGTTACTTACCTGCCTTGCCACTTCCTCCTTAATTGGTCTTCTTAGGTTCATTTGAACAGTTTTCCCTTTAGAAAGAAGACCGAAGCAAAGTAGTCGTTGAGAAGGTCTGCCATCTCATCACTTGTTACCATCTTATTTTTCCACAGTGGCCCCACCCCTTCCTTTCTTTTGTTACTGACATTGTTGACTTTAGCTTCTCTTGTGAGTCTAAATTCCTGTTGCATTCTAGCCTTTATGACTTGATATCCGCAAGTATTAACTACTTGCCATACGGTTTCTTGATAATTGTGTCAGTCTTCCATTTCCTTAAGCACATATGAGCACTTTCCATTGTTTCCTAGTTTATGCCTAGTTTTTCTTCCCAGAAGATTCATATGAGATTGTACAATTCTAGGCACAAAGTCATAGAATCATACGGCTGAAAGAAACCTTGGAGATCTTCTAGTCTAACCCCTTGCCTAAGGCAGAAGTCCTTATTCCATGCTGGAAAATTGAAAAAAAACAACAACTTTTTTTCATTTCATTTTCCAGATATTCATGTATGTATGCCTTCATTCAGATATTTTACAGTTTTCAGTTGTTCCTCCACAACCCTTGCTATTTCATTCATTCCATCTTCCATAATCATGACCAGACAGGTCTACATATATTACCTTGGCATTGGTCAATCAAGATTTTCATCTGAATCTATCCTACGCCAAAAAAGTTTTTATTTCTATGAGTTATTTAATCAATATTTACCATATTAAAAATAATATTGATGTATTCACTCTCACAATTGTTTGATGGGATTTTAATATTGTATTATTTTTTAACATAGGCTGGCAAATACTTTAGATTTTGTGAATCACCAGGGAACCTCAGACCACATTTTGCTATATAGTGAATGGAGGTGCCTCTTATTATTACTCTCTGATATATAATGAAATTGTCAAACAATGAGAAATCAGCTTGGTTGAGTAAAACATTTTAAAAGCCAAATAAGAGGAAAGCTTGACTCATTATTATCTATAGTTATCCAACGTCCTTGTAATAGCAGGATGTGAAACTGTTCAGCATGATCACATCCTGGTGAGTGTGCCACAAGTATAACTAGAACTCAGCTTAAATCCAGAAACCATGTTCATTGTATTCTTTGCAAGCTAGGTTCACTGACCGCGGCCCTCTCGAGCTCTGTTTTCCCTGGCAGAGGCACTGCAGGCTGGTCCTTCGCTATTTCCAGGGTGGCCTCACAGGTCAGACCTAAGCACCCTGTGGGCTTGAGTTTGATACCCCTGACATACACAAAAAAATATGAGCATCTTCAGGCAGTGGCATTATACCAAGAGGTTTTTATGTGAGCTAGAAAGGCTAAATTACAGAGTTACAGTTCTGCATGTAAAATTTTATATGTACTTCTTGCAGATGTGCTACAGTCATAGGGAGCTAAGAGATGGTGTATATATTATTAGTATCATATATTTATCGTGGTACTACACAGGAAGTTAACTTATTGTTCAAAATTATGATGAATGGAGTTAAACCCCTTCCTGTTGCAGCACCGCCATAGTTACATGATCAAAATTACAACCACCTGCAGAGGTGCTGCAATGCCTCACACCTGCCTATCTCTCCCAATCTATGCATTTAAAAATGCAAGGAAACCTTTAGTACTACAAGGAAAAGCGCGCACGCACATGCACACACACACAAGCTCCAGAAGTCTCCACAGTTGGACCAAAGCAGTTGCTTTGCAGGAAGTTCCAAACACCCTAGAGACGCCCACACAAACACACATGAACCCTCAAACACTTGGGAAACTCTAGCCCAGCAGAGATACCTGCAATGTACCATGTCAACTGACCTTCACCACTTTCTTCATCTCACTATTTATTGAGGAATGTCCAGCCTGGCCCTTTCCGGGAAAAAGGAAGAAAAATAATTGAGGAAGGCAGCCACTTATTTGCAATGTCTTAAAATGCCCCTTTCCTCTGCTCCCAGGTGGGATGGAGCACCAGAGATGGTTTCAAGCATACTAACATGAGGGGAAAGGGTTCTTAAAGATACATTTTTTCTATTTAATATATAAAATATATTATTTTAGCATTTATTTTTCTTGTTCACAAAGAGCTACCCTGGGTGCACCTTCTAAATAGTGGGACAAAGAACGTGGTGAAGGTCAGACGCTGGCATGGTACAGAGTGTATGGCAGCTAGGGAGGCTTGTCTGGGTCTTCCCAGATGTTTGAGATGGCTGCTTCATACCACTGTGTGTCCTTGGAGCATATGTAGGTTATTCACGTTTCCAAAGGGCCACATGAGCCACCACATTACAATCTGATCCATGGGGCTTCCCTTGAGAATAAAGCATCACCTGCAGAATGCCCCAGTGCCATACGGAATGCTCTCTCTCTCCCTCCTTCTTAGTTGAGATGCATTTGACACCCTCTGAATTTCAATCCCATCTATGGTTCATTCTCATTTATTGTTTATATCACTGGTTCCCAACCTTGGCAACTTCTAGGTTTGTGGACTTCAATTCCTAGAATTTTCATTAATGTCCATGCTGGTGGTGGAATTTTGGGATTTGAAGTCCACACACATGCAAACTGCCAAGATTAGGAAACAGTGGTTTATACAGTTTGGGTTTTGTAGAGATTTCCTGTATTTTCTTAGTCCTCACCAACATTGCTCTCTTGCATGTGGTCACTAATCAAATAAATGGAAAATATATGAATAGGTTCTGTAAAAGGATTCTTCCATTCAAGTCTAAGGTCAGATTATATATGAAGAAAAAACAAATTCATGCTTATGTTTCTTTTCATCTTCCCCCTCAAGCTGTGAGTGAGCATTATCTGGAAATTGTTACTGAATGACATCTGAACAATGTCTGTTTATCTTATAATTGGGAGGTAAATACCTTCAACCTCAGTGAAACATGTCTGAGAAACAAAAGTTCAGAACATATGCATTAGCTAAATATAGGATAAATATACAAAACATATTATCAACATGTTAAAATATAAAACTCACAGTTAATGAATATGTGCAAACATTTGAATGTAAAACTTTGAAAATAGAGTGTACTAATACACAAAATCTAAAATTGGCTGTCTCAATCATTTTGGAAATGTATTACGATTCTTCTAAGGGAAGGAATATTTATATAGTAACTTCACAGTAAACTACAGTATATTAGAAAACCAGACATAATTTACAAATCTGTCTGTAAAAATAAAACATGACTAATCTGCCTCAGAAAAATGGCCATTGTTTAAAAAAAACTAATACATCCAAGAATGGAACATTTATTGAATGGTAACTTCAAAATTTTGAAAGCCAAAACTCAAGCTTATTAAAATATTGATATATATTGAGGTTTTCCAATTTGACAAGTTGCCAGTTTTGATTCTTGACCAATAAATAGGGAGTAAACCCTACTACAAGTACAAATCTCAAATAAATAAATAAATAAAGTATGAATACTTACTAAAAAATATCCAGGCATGTCATTGGGAGGAGAAGCCGTTCTAAAATTTTCTTCTGGAAAATGTTGAAAGTTGGTAGTTAATGAAATACCAGAAGTCCGAAACCTGCTTGTGCCACAGGAATTCGGTAAGCCATCTCTATTTGTGCTTCGGGTAAATGAACTTAGCAAACTTATGTTATTTACAGAAACAACAGGGTCTTTGGAAGCCTTAAGTGCTACTTCTGTGATATCTCTTGCTTCCACTTTAGAATGGGGATCAGGCCTTTTGCTAGGTAAATCCAAACCAATGCCATGAAATCTAGATGTTCTTGAATAAGAGGAATCTGCTAAACTGTGCACCTCCAATGACTGTAGAATGTTTGGGGAAATAGTGGGCCTCAAGCCAGCTTCTTCAAAATATTTGGAGTGAGCTTGAGATTTCTGAGGACTGTAATGCGCCATCTGTGATGAACAATGAAGAGGTGACAGGCGTGTTTTCTTCAGACTAAACTCATGAGAGTTAAAAATATTATTATCTGCTGTTGCAAAAGTCAAAGTTTTTGCGATGGATTTGTTTTGATGCTCTTGCGGTAACGGAAGCGTGGTATTCCCTTCTTCTGATCCAGGCATTTTGCTGTATGAGTCATTGCAAGTTGATTCTGATATCAAGGCAAGAGACTCCTTGTTTGGTAGAACATTTTTTTCTGCAGTATACAGATTTACATTTGTGAGATCTGGATACAAGAAAGGACATCTTTCATTGGATGATATACTACTTTGTGCATTTTTTTCCAAATTTGTGAGTGCAGTTGTCACTTGAGGAACTACATTGTTTTCAGAAAGTTTTGCCTCTCCCTTTTCCACAGATGATACTTTGGAAGACAGTGCCGTGCTGTTAATTGATTGAGATGGTGAAATATTCTCCCATTTGTCATTTTCTTTAAGAAAGTTTCTAGTAATGGATGACACTTTTTTATCAGTATGTGCTAGGGTTGAAAAGGCATTTGGAGATATTCCTGAGTTATGTAAATTTTCAGGAGGCAGACAGGATTGCCCAATATGAGGAAGTGCTCGTAGAAAATTATGACGAACAGCTGCAAGCGAGCCACTAGATGGATGAAGGACCACTGGAGAATGGGGGTTCACTTTGATCTTAGGCTATGGGGAAAAAATGGAAAAGTCATTAGTTTTAACTATAGTGCAACTACGGAAGCCCAATGTATTTCTCCACTAGTTTTGCACTGTAGCATTAACTCTTTTTTATTTCAATTTGAATGATTGCATAATACTTAAATATTATTCGATATCCAGACTAAAAAATAACTTGCTTTCCTTTCAATAGTGATTCTAATCAGTAATCTCTATCCAATTGGAACAGGATTTTCAAATTTTCTCAGGCTGTTGAATCTATTTGGTAAAAAAAAATCTGGATCAAAAGGCAAAAACCGGTAGAAAATAGATTGATTTCAAGTGAACTATTTTTTGTCCTTGGATTCTTGTCCAAAGTACTGTACTTGTCAATATGGTTCTATAGATCAGTTGGAAAAACTCTGGATTGGAATGATGAAATCATATTGTGATGAAAATATCACAATATTTAGTACTCATTAAAAATGACAGCTGGTGGGGGGGGGGCAGAACTGACGTCACAACGATACAACGTGTGATCTTGGAGCTCCAAGATTGCAGTTGATATTTCTGCTGCTGGACGGTCCTTTTGACCTAACCCGTCCCATAGAGACGGTGATAGAGAAGAGCACATCCTGCTGATCTCAGGGATACCGCAAAGTCCCTGAATGATCCAGGAGAAGCTCTTTTTTCTGATGACAGAGACACCGCCATAGAAGCTGCTGAAGTTGGGACAGCTCCAGAACGAAGGAAAGCGGAAGAGAAAGTGTGTCGAATTGGTGAGAAAATTTTATTATTAGAAAAGAGACTACCCCCAAAAAATTAAGTTAAATTAAAATTGAAGACAGAAGAGAGTAAGTGTGAGATTAAGCCATATTAAACTGAGTGTGGATGGAAGGAGAGAAATTCTGACAGAAGCATTGGTGATAACCAAAGTCAGGCTGATGAAAGGAACAGATGGAGGGTCTCGAGTTTTTATAAGATATGCAATGAGCAACAAGTTCCGAAGAGAAGTCCAAGACTTACAAGAAAGCAACAAGAATACTAATACTACAAATGGCAAGAGATATAAGACTGCACTATTATTGGAAGGACACAGGTTGATGTAATGAACGTTCATAATAAAAATCAAGTTAAGCTTAGTTAATTTTAGAGTATTATGTATAAAATGGAGTGATAATAGTTAGAGTCATTTAAATGAGTAACAATGATAATAATCTGTGTGTATGTATGTATGTATGTATGTGTGTATATATAAGGAAGAGAACCTTGTGGCTTAGTGGTTAACACATCTGCCTAAGATATAATACAGCACAGGTTCTAATCCCAGTAAGGGTATGGCTAGCTGATGAGAGCTAAATAGCTTGAAATAGATCTATACTAGTCTCCCTTTATTTATTTATCAGCACAAATACAACATATACACACACGTTTGATAATATGAAATTTTATATAAATTGTAAATGAGGACTATGAGAGGATGCTTAAAAGTCTTGCTATTAAATACAATCAATTTTTAATTAGAATATGCTATAAAGATGAAATGTCACTGGATGATTTTAGGAGGATGTAATGGAATGCCATTATATAGTTTTACTTTAAATTTAGAATATTTTATATAAAAGGATGTAATAAGTTATAGTCAAATGAATGTTTAATAATTATAATTTATATATATATATATGTTTAAATTGTAAGAGGGATGATAAGTCAAATAAATGAGATATAAACGAGGTACAATAATAGTAATGAATATAAATATATTTGATTTAATAATGAGAGTTGAGAACAAATGTAAGTGATGACTATAGAAGGGATGCACATAAATCTTGTAACCAACCAACACACTACCTGTAATTTGTAATGCATGATGGTTTTATGTTTTTTGTTTTGTTTGTTTGTGTTTGTTTAAAAATAAAAAGCTTTAAAAAATGACAGCTGTTGATAGACTAAAAATGATAGCCTTCTGACATGGTAATTTCATGACACAGTCATGATGGTTTTGGGGGGAAAAGTACATTATAATGGTAAAAAATGGTACGATTGTGTACAGCTTATATAAATTAATTTTGGATGATATACTGTGTATTGAGTAATATCTGTTATTTAAAGAGGGTTTTCATTGTTTTTTACTGATATCTGGAGATGATCTTATATTTTATGACTTTACCTTTTTATTAAGATTCATGTTTTCCATCTTTGCCTTTAGCAGCTTCATTTTATTCATTGTAATGGAGTTCTCAATAATCTGTTGCCCAGAAGGAGATATTTCTGTGTCTTCATCGTCATCAGCATACAAATTATAAACAGAACCACCACTGTGGCAAGAAGAAAATTCAGATGTGGTCTAGTACCGTACATGTTAACACTTTGTAAGTCAGAATTACAAAAATATAGCAAAAGAGTTTCTGAAACAAAACAGTGATATTTTTATATTTCAAAAGCATTTTTACATCAAATATCTTTTAAATCTAATTTTTACTTGAGAACCTGTCCTTATATGTGCCAAATAAAATAGCACCTTCTAATAAAAAAGGGACTCTCTCTATATGGGAATATGTACACGTGTAGGAAAAACCTTGTAGACATTTTTAATGAATGTAATAATCTCCTTTTCTCTTTTCCTTCAGATACCATTCACTGGTCCTTTTCCATTGTTTAGTCAATACAAATATATTAAAAATCAACCAGGACCAGATATTGTTATCACACAATTGGCATTAAACAAATTTTGAGAATACATGTTCACCAGCGAGTAAAAACATTTTTATTCCTATGGGCTTTTAGATTTTAAGTAACATTAAGCAAGCTTTAGTAATATAAGAGATTGTTCTTATTCTAACAATGCTACTGTAATTGGGACAGCTAGTTTGCAAGTTTACACATTTGCTGAATGTGATTATTAAACAAGGGCCACCTATATTCTTCTTATATTTATATGCTTTATTTATTGTTTGAATTTTTATTTTATGTTTATAATTCTGCATTGCATTTTTCTATTTCTATTTTTCTTAATATCAGCCAATCTGATCATTATTTTTGATGCCCTAATTTGCTTAATCTCTCATTTATCATAGCAACATTTTTATTCTTTATTATGTACCTTGTTTTCTGAAAGTTCTTCCAGGAGCAGAATGCACTGGAACCTGACTTAATTGTAAGTGTGCTTAGATTTTTCAGTAACATTTGAATATCCTTAACATTACAAATAACATACCTTAAAGATTCAGATAACGGTGTTAAAGTTCCATCTCCCCTGTCCACAACTCGAAAAAAGTTCAGCTGGTCTCCTTCTTGGTAGACCAAGAATGTAACATGTTTACTGGATGGAACCTTTTCCCAGACATCATCTCGACAGGGCCCCATGTATTCTGCTATTTCTTTAATTGGGTCTTCCAAAGGAACTACCAAGAAAAGAAACATGAAGAAAAAAGATGGTTTGAAAGGGACTACGTTTTCATCTGAATGCTGACATGAAGGACATGTTTACAGAAACTCTCGTTTCTAATAAACCAAGTAAAGCATTATGCAATCTTATTAAATAAACCAGATTTAGTCACAAAATCCTATTTTAAAATAGAAATAAAACTGGCTTGAGGGTGCTGAATATCAACTAACATTTCTACTGCTTTACAAAAATTATATTAGGAAGATCAGTAATATCAAAAGCATCATGGAGCATATAAGATCTCAGATACAGACCAACAGCGCCCTTCCCATAATTGCATAATTCTCTAGAAAAGTGTTAGCTATAATCTTCATAACCTGGTATTTTCTCCAAGTCTTGCTGATGTACTACAATCCACAATTCACAAGTTAGGTGTTTCCATTCAAGCATAAAAGTGACATAGTGAAACAAATAGGAACAAATTTGTTGTCGCAGCCATGAAAACATGTGACAAAATTGTGTACAGGTGGTCCTTGACTTAGAATCCTAATAATTGAGAAATTAAGTGGATCAATACATGACTGCACTTGATTTTATTAGCATTTTTGTGGTGGTGATGGTTAAGCAAACATGTTTTCCATAATGGGTGTTTTTTTGCCAGAAACCAGAAGCATACACCTCAAATACCCCTCAAATTGCCAAAAATCAGTATTGGGTGACTGAGATCACGTGACCATGGGTGTATGTGTTTGCAACCACTTGAATTTTGAAACAAAGTACCATATTTTTCGGAGTATAAGAGACACCTTTTTCTCTCAAAAAAGAGGCTGAAAATCTGGATGCGTCTTAAACATTGAATATAGCATTTCTTGCTCCCTGAAACTCCGCCCCTTCACCAAAATGGCCGTGCATAGCTTTTAGAAGGCTTTAAGAGAACTCCTGGGGCCCGGGGAAGGCAGAAATGAGCAAAAAGCGGCCCGTTTTTTGCCCCCCCTGCCTCCAGCAGCACTCTATAAGCTTCTTAAAGGTTATCCATGCCCTTTTTTTTTGAAAAAAATGGGCAGTTTTTTGCTCCTTTTTGCCCCCCCCCCCGAGCACTTTACAAGCCTCCTAAGGGCTATTCATGCCCCTTTTTTGAAAAAAAAACACCAGGCCGTTTTCGCAAAAAAAACAAAAAAAAACCCCAGGCCGTTTTTGAATTTTTTTAAAAAAATTTCCTCTTCCAAACCTTGCTGCGTCTTATACTCCGATGCGTCTTATACTCCGAAAAGTAGCTGTGGTACAATTGTAACTTCAATAGTCACTAAATGACCGGTCATTAAGTAAGGATTGCTTGTACTCTTTTCTTCCATCAGTCTTGATGAGATATAATAATGTTTCATTAATGTTCACTAGAACACGTTCTCAGTATATTGGTTTCAGACATATGGTGTGAAATCTTTAACACAGAACTAAACCAGATTCAGAGGATCTAATGGGCTGTAAGAATAACCCTTGAGAAAGAAGAGGAAAAGCTGTAACCAAGATATTGTTATGTTTGTTTTTAAATTTTTGTCTGTATCCCCCTTCCCCGGTTCGAGTTGTGGGCCGCCCTGAGACCCCCTTCGGGGGAAAAGGGCGGCATACAAATACAATAAACTGAACTGAACAATGGTCAGATAAAAAAATGTTAAGTCCAAGACAAAAATGCAATTTAAGAAAATTTCTCAGCAATAACCTTCCCTTGTTTTCTTAAAAATAAAGGGAGGCACTTTCTGGCTTGCAAGATTCTGTTACTATAATCCTAAAAGTAAAATGAATTTAAAAAATAAAATGAAAGCAGTATTAGTATTCAGAGCTTTGATTTTTCGATTCTTGTCTATCTTGAAGGATTGACAGAGAGAACAGATATTTATATTTGCTGAATTAGTCATTTGGAAATTCACCAGCGCTGTAACATTTAATGATAAAACATCAGCGTGCTCTACCAGTACTTTTTGTTATAATTTAGAAGTTGCAACTTATTTAGATTAGGCTCATAGCTTGAATTGTATACTACAAATATACTTCAATAACTGACTGGAGTAAGCCCAAAAATTAAACTGGATTTTATCTATTGATTTTAATTACTTAGGAGTTGCAACTTTTCACGTGAAGAAATGATCTCAAAAATTGTCTATGCAAAATTGTTTATGTCTTTAATATGTAGAGAAGGCTCAAAAAACCTTGTTGGATGAGAAGAGGTATTTTTACAATGGTTGCAGCATCTGATGAGATCACCTGATCATAATCTGTAACCTGCCCAGGTGGCTTCTGACAAGCAAGGTCAATTGAGGAAGCTTAACAACTATGTGATCCCCTTACCTATGGTAAAAAAGGGTCGCAAAATGGGGTCTGATCACATAATGATTGCTTAATATCTACATCAGTGACCAAAATTCCAGAACCAATTGGGGTGTTAAGTGAGGACTACTTGTAATTAGCTTCCTTGCAGCTGCTTCTTGAAATTGACAAGACCCTAATATCCCTGTAGCTAGCATGTTAGGAAAATAGCCAATGTCAGTGCATTCCTTTGGATGTGTATTGCCCACTGTGTGTCTGCTTTCAAGAGCAATTCCTTCAATTAATGTATATACAAACATTAATTTTCTTAATAAATCATCCTCATCATCCCAGCGCTGGGGTGAATATTCCACCATGAGGGAATAGAGGAAAAAGGATAATAAGATTTGCCTTTTACCCGGCTTCAAGTTTTGAAAAATTTTCTTGTAGTTTGGCCTTATCCATCTGTTTGAAGTTGTAGCCTTCTATCACTCTAAAACATAGGAAAGCTAATGTACAATCATAAATACTGTTGTGGTCAGGTGTTTTTTTCCACTTTGCTTATTAACCAAACTGCTGGTCCCAAATGTGGTAGCTAAATGGGAATTACCTTTATAGTGCATATGGTAGTATGTTATTAAATTAAAAGAGAAGGGAAGATAAATCATATACTGTACTAGCCCTAATCTTTTCCCATTCATTAGGAAATGATAAGCATAATTTTAGTTTATGCTCTCTATAAAAACACAAAGATTAAATATAAAACGGCCTACCTCTTTTTGTATTAATAGGACCACCACGCATTGCTAAGATCAGCTTCAAAGTACATCCTTCTGAAATGCTGTAAACAATCAATCAGACATATTTTGTAAGTTTTTCTTCTAGAAAGAGTGCAGAGAAAAGATGATTAGAAGTCTGGAGACTAAAACATATGATGAATGGTTGCAGGAACAGGGTATGTCTAATGTAACAAAGAGAAGAACCAGGGTTGACATGATAGTAGTTTTCCAATATTTGAGAAGCTGTCACAAAGAAGAGAGGGACAACTTATTTTCTAAAGCACCTGAAGGCAAAACAAGAATTTAACGGATGGAAACTTATCAAAGAGAGAGATCCAACCTAGATCTAAGGAGAAATTTCCTGTTAGTGGGAATAATTAATCAGTGGAATGACTTGCCCCCAGAGGTTCTGGGTGCTCCATCACTGGAGGTTTTTAAGAAGAGAGTGGACAACCACTTGTTCAGAATGGTATAGGGATTGGATTAGAACACCTCCAAGGTCGCTTCCAACTCTTTTTTAATATAATCAAGACATATTCAGAAACACTTGAATAATCACATTTGAATACTCACTGGTAATCATTCAAAGAATAGTCATCCTCCAACTCCACATTATTCCAGATTAAATGCTGCTGAGATACAGGGATACCTTGAAATATTAGTAAAATTGAATGGATATATTTACTTTGTAAAACTATGACTAAAATTACTAAAAGTTATTTATTTGGATATATATTCCTCAGAAATTATCACATTTTAAATGAAAAACATGATTTTAATTTGCATGATGAACAACATTCCTGACTTAAGCTCCTTATTTTTAGGGCCAAGATTAAATCTAAATAATAGTAAAAATTGCCTTTAAGTAAGGCAGTTAATACCAGTTGGTTAGTAGTAAGAAATAACAATAATCTTATATTACCTCACCAAGATCAGGGTTAATTTCATTAACTACTGCCCTACAATTCCGCAATTTGATCAAGGTGGTATATATGATTGTTCCTTTCATTTTATCCTTGTAACTCAATGAAGTAATTAGGCTGCAAGTATTATAAGACATTTGGTAAAATTCACTTGGAATTAAGGATTTGAAAATATTTTTTCCAAGTCAGAATAATCCACATTAACCCTAAGTAAGGGCTTGTCAAATTAGTCCTTAGATATTGCATTTACAACAACATGGAATTTGTAAGTGAGGAATGAAGACAATGATCAAGTTTATGGTCAGCATGCAGTATTCTGAGAGAAAATGCAGTAATGCTTCTCCTCACTTAATGAAGTAATTTGCAAATTACCAGCATTTTATTCTGCTTTCATTTAATTACATGAAAATGATACTTAAGAGAACTGTCTTAAATGCAAGATTGTTATACAATTCATGTACTATAGTATTTGACTGCTCACTGCTGTTTTCTAACCTCCTTTCTCACTGATAAGGTAAAAATGTTTTATTTCAATGTCACTGCAAAGGTTTGGATTCTTTACATAGGAGAGCTAAAGATGACAATGAGCTGGTATGGGTGAAAAATGCTAGGAAATTTCTTTGCCTAAGTTGGGATATGTTTAAAACAAAAAAATAGCAATCAGTTTATTAGCTGTCCAACAGGCTGCAAAAAGCAATTGTAAAAAAAATATCTAGAGTACCTGTGTACGAGTGCAGTGAGGAACAGGGAAGGAAGGTGCGGGGGTGCATTCCTCTGTACAAACATGTGGAGATCCAGGAAGGAGTCTGCCGGTGGGTGTGAGCATGCAAAGGGTGAAAGAGGGTGCCGGTGCATGTAAAGAAAGGATGGGCGGCCGGGGACACATTTACCTGGGCTATTTGTCACATTTCCTGCCAACTTCCCATTAATTTTGCTAATGGGAAGCTGGCGCAGAAAATCAACAACAATCCTGTTATTGAAGGATGTTGTAACCAATCATAACTGCAAGATGGTTGCCAAGCACTCAAATATTGTTCATGTGACTGTGGGGGCATGCAACAGCTGGAACTTCAAGGGCTGGTTCCTTTGTTAAGCACCACTGTAATTCCAAACAATTGCTGAACGAATAATTGTGACTTGAGGACTACTTGTATTTTTTGGTTAATTTTCTGGTGTATTGTGGAATTCTGTAGACATAACATGCAGGTAGCCCTTAGGTAATAACCACTGGGACTGGGAACTCTGTCGCTAAGTGACATTGTCATAAAGCCAAAAAATATTGACATAATGCAATGGATAAAAGAAATAAAATAAAAAGTACTCTCTAATAATTACTTATAAATCTATGGCCGTAATAAGTGCTTCACTACAATGGAATGCTGAAATTTATATCATTTTCATTATATTATCTCACATTTCATGAACTTCAAAAATGAATTGATATGATCCATTATAAGAACGTTTTTGAGAAGGATATTTGAAGAAGAAACATTACAGATGGACCTCGCTTATTAATTGCCTTATGCAGTGATCAAAGTTATAATGATGCTGAAAACATAACTTTGCAACAAGGTGCACACTCAGGACATTTGTAGCATCTCTTTGTCACATATCTGCCACTAGTTAGTACATATAATGGGCCTGGTTGGTTTTTATCCCCTCACAGAACAGAGAAGTTGGAGAGAAAAAGATTATAAGATAGTAAGCAGATACACAATCAGGTACACACTGAAATGAATCTGCTAGTCTGGCTGTCTGCCTACTATGCTCAGGACTGGGAGCTGGGAGCATGCTGGTGCTAGAACATTCCTTTGGATCTGTATTTCCTACCATGTGACTGCTTATACTGTTCCCTTTCTTTCCAATGAATCTAAATACAAACATTAATTTTCTTTTTGCTAATTATTCCAATGAGCATCTAAAAGGGTGGGAGAGAAAAAGGAAAACTTGAGCTAAAATCAGTTGTGGTCATATGATTTCCTTTAGTGACTGCATCACTTAGCAACCAGGTTGCTGGTCTCAATTGTGATAATTACATGAGGACTGCCTGTGTTTGCGAAAGGTATCCTACACAGAACAGTCATTCATCATCCTTACCTCATATTGTTGATTGACAAATGTTATTATAATTTGAGCTTTTATAAAAATACATTTGTACTGATATTTTGACCCAAGCAATTATATATTTGTTAAATTTTCATCCAAATTTATTTCAAGAACATCAATATAAAATATTTTATGTTCAAATTTTTGACCAGACATTTAATTCTGTTGGTATTCCCTCTAAAATTGAACTTTTAAATTTCAAAACTAAACCCTGATGTAAAAAGAACATGTACCTTCCAGTCTCTGGATTTTAGCTTTCACAGAAATAACTGTTTCGAAAGGAGACACTCGCAATTCAAAGCATGTTCCTGTAAGAGTTTCAATGAAGAGCTCCATGGTCTCATAGAAAGTAAGTTTGCAATGACATGATCCAACGTTATCCTCATTGAAGAAAGGGGGCTCCTTCTTGCTGGCCATTCTAGTTAGTATTCCTTGTGAAAAAAATCAGTTGGGCATTATATCTCAATTTTAACTCAAGTCAGCTCTAAACAGGAAAACTGGTTTTGTTCATGTTTCAAGGTTAAGAATCATACAAGATCTGTTGTCATAACATTTAGGAAATAACATTAACATCTATTAAAAGCATTCTTTAGTAAATGTACTAAAGCAACAAAACAAATTTCATTCTTTTTTTCCCCACCAGAAGTACATATTTAAAGGCAAAAAATGTAAATACCTGTAAATAAATGACTTCTTTCACTGTATTAATTTATTATAACAGAAAGAGTACACAAAAATTCAGAGCAATTGTCTATGGAGATTCTCAATCATCCAGGTCATGGTTGTGCAAAAGATGCTTTTCAAAAGGCTACTCAACTTTCTTAGCTTTTTTCCTTTGAAACGTTTCACTTCTCAACTGAGAAGCTTCTTCGTGGGGAAAGGAAGGATTTATATTCCTTATATTTATATTACAATTCAGAGCAATTCTTCGCATGAAAATACAATAAGTCTCACCAAAGAAAGATAATTAAGATTTTCCTTACAAAAAGACCACTTTGGTGCAAGCAAATAAGTAGATGGACATTACACTAATAATTTAGGAAAGTGAATCAACTGAGATCAATTTTGTAATAGATATCTTAAAAACATTTCCAGCCCCAAATTCCTACATGTGTGAAGAATCTAAACATTTGGACGGTTAGAATACTGTTCCTGGGAAAACAAGCCAATAGAGCATTTCCATTAATGTCAACAGCCAATTCTCAAGCAATAAAAATAATAAAGATCAAGTGTGGTATAATGATCATTGCAATTGGAAATTCTAAAACCACAGAAGATAAAAAAACTATTATGTGAATCATTTATTATTAGAAATGGAAGATGTTTGTACTCCTGCCAGCAGTGTACTCAGAATATTCTACCTATGCTGAATGACACAAATTGTTTCCTGTATGTTTTTCCAAAAGCTCTTATTGCAAAATAAGATGCAGAACTGCACTAACATGTTTGAAACACAGCGAGAATTCAGTTACTGAGCTACAATTGCCTATTTTGGTCTTGCTGATCGATCCCATGCTAAGCACTCTGGAAAATCACATACGTGATTTCACAAACAATCAAGTAGTAGAAAACTGTTATTGTTTCCATGGAACCAAAGAAACTGATACGCTCTTGTGATCTTTTTGCCTTAAGTTAACATTAGGTTTTCAGCTTTTTTTGATGGGCTGACAATCTATCAGTTGTGTCAAAATGATTCTTGCCCTCCACCATGCAGTCATGCAGATATATTAACCCTCTGCATTACCAAGTCATTTATGTCCTTTATCTCTAATAATCACTACAGGTAATCCTTGACTTATGACCACAATAGAGTCCAACATTTATGTTGTTAAGTGAGACATTTGTTGTGAATTTTGCCTCATTTTATCCCCTTTCTTGCCACAGTTGATCAGTAAAACACTGCAGTTGATATATTAGTAACCTGGTTGTTAAGTGAATCTGGTTTCCCCATTGACTTTGCTGATCAGAAGGTCACAAAAGGTGATTAGATGACCTTGGGACAAAGCAATGGTCATAAACGTGAGCCAGTTGCCAAGTATCTGAATTTTGATCATGCGATTTTTGGAATGCTGCAAAAGTCGTAGCTATGAAAAATAGTCATGTCACTTTTTAAAGTGCCGTTGTAACTTTGAATGGTCACTAAATGAACTGTTGTAAGTCGAGGACTACCTGTATATTACCAAAGGTTATTTATGTTCTTTATCTCTAATCATCACTACTGTATATGCCACACTGAAAAATAAAAAATAAAATAAGCTCCAATGTTTGAGTGTACACAACTATCCAGCAAAAGAACCGGGCCTTTTCTGACTCAACCCTCCTCACTCCCATCTACAATTATAGAGAATAGGCCAACGTGCAGAATAAATAAGAGCCTTTTTGGTATGATTATTTAACCCTGGTGCAGCCAGAAACAGCCTTCCCCCGCCCCCCACACACAGGATCGGGGAAATTAAAAAAAAACAACTTGCTAGTTGCGACCCTTTCTGTTCTTACGGCCAGGGCGGGAAAAAGCCCCGAAACCCAGGAAACGATCAAGAGGACGCCAGAAACAAAAAGCCTCAAGATGGAAGCGCCGAAGGGAACTAAATTGTCCTTTTCAGGACTGGGCTCTTTCGCCCCTGGTTTTGCCAGCAGGCCCTTCCTGGGGAGCCTCTCGCTTCCCAGCTCGCCCCGAAGGGAAGAAAGCAGCCTCCCTAGTCTAACTACTCCCAGGCCAAGGAAGATAACAGGCCCCACTTCGGAGCCTCCATTGAAGCTTTGATGGCCACCGGGGCACCGGCTCGTGGGGAACGCTGAGGGGGGAAAGAGGAGAAACGGGCGGGCGCAGCCACGCCTGCTTCGCCCCCCTCCCGCAAGGCGGCCAGGTGTGGAGACCCGTCCTCCTCACCTGCCGTTTCCCGCCACGCAGGGCCCCGAGGGAGGGGCCGACGCGCCGCCTCCCCCTTTCAGGGAGCTGCCGAGGCAGCCATGGAGCGGAGAAGACGATGGCGAGCGGAAGACATTCAACCTCACGGGAGGACCCGTTCCCTCCGCCCGGCGGCGAAGGGGCGGTGCCTTAACCCGCCCTCTCCCGCCCTTTGTGACGCGACAAACGGGCGAGTCCGGTTGCTTAGGGACGCGGCGCTCCGATCCTTGCGCGGCTCGGAAAGTGGCGGGAAGGGTTGGCTCTGAGGGGGGTTTGGCGCCTCAGCTGAGGCAACGCTTCGCCGGGAAATTCCGGTGCTGGAATGCGGTGCCACCTCCCCCCCCCCGCCCCACATATATCTTCTTAGGCCCGGGACGCCTTTCACCCTTCATTTGTTCGTCGTCAGTCCTCAAGGGGTCTCGAGACCTCGTGTCTGTCCAGAGGGCAACCGCCAGATTCGCCTGCCCGGGTGGCTCGTCCGATTTTTTTTTGGGCGGGGGGGACTTTTCCAGCCATCTGTTTTAATGGAAAAAAAATGAGCCAGCAGTATGTGCTGCATCTGCCAAAAAAGTCCTAGGCTGCATTAACAGAAGGATAGAATTGGTTGAAGTGTTGATGCCATTTTATAATGCCTTGATAAGATCCGCACTTGAGATATTGCATCCGTTTTTAGCCGCCATGGTGTAAAAAAGATGCTGACATTCTGGAAGGAGTGCAGAGAAGAAACGAAGATGGTTAGGGGACTGGACTAAAACATGAAGGGTTGCAGGAATTTGGATATGCCCAGTTTAATGAAAAGGACTAGGTGTGACAAGATAGCAGTGGTCCAATATCTCGGGGGTCGCCACAAAGAAGATGGGGTGAAACTGTTCTCCAAAGCAGCTGAAGGCAAGACGAAAACCAATGTATGGAAACTAATCAAGGAGAGAAACAACCTAGAACTAAGGAGAAATTTCCTGAGAGAACAATTGGTGGAACAACTTGCCTCCAGAAGTTGTGAATGCTCCAACACTGGAAGTTTTTAAGAAGAGATTGGACAACCATTTGTTTAAAATGGTATAGGGGTTCCTTCCTGAACAGGGGGTTGGATTAGAAGACCTTCAAGGTCCCTTTCCAACTCTGTTGCTCTATTCCAGAGGTGTCAAACTCAAGGACTATGGGCTGGATTTGGCCCATGGGGCCGCCTTTGAAACAGATTGGCCCGCAGTGCCTCTGCGAGCAAAAATTGAACTTTGTTTTTGTCCTTGCGTGCCCGAGATCCCTTTTTGCTGGCAGGGAGCTGCAGGAGGCTATTGTGACCCAAAATTGGGCCGGGGGGGGGGCGTGGCCATCGCAGCCAAAAACAGACCTCGGGAGCCCGTTTTCACTGAGAGAGTGCTCGGGCCACGAAAGGCGCCCCAGACACAAGTGTCATCAAGCTGGCCACACCCACCCTAGCCCCCACAAGGTCAAACAACCCTGATGTGGCCCTCAATGAAATCAAGTTTGACACCCTTGCATTGTGTTGTGCTATGCTATATTCTATTCCCTATTTCTTTCCCTTCTATTTTCTCTCTGGACCCTGGTCCATTTCTTCTCAGCCACTTCCCCCCTCCCCCCTGCAACTGCAACCACCCAAAATACTGAGCCTCAATGATACTTCTACTTAGATCCCCAGAAAGGGCTGCAGGTCCAAACCACCTCCACTTTCCAAACTGAATCCAGAAGTTGCAGGGGAATCTTATGGACAGCAGTGCGCGGGGCACTTTTTAAAGTTATCGGATAAAATGAAAATAGAAATTGAATGCCTAAAAAAATAACTGTCCAAATCTTGTAAAAATAATATACTAATGTTCTCAGTTGATGTAGAATATCTTGCATATTATATGAAACCGGGTAATCTTAAAATGTACAGTTTTAATGTTCATAATCTAAAACTCCAATATGTATACTCTACAGCTCAAATTTGTTATCTAATGTATAAATTGCATTTTCTCCAATGTATAAAATAAGCAGAATAGCAGGCATATTAGCAAAAGGAGATCAGAAATGATCTAACCTTATTCAGAATATTAATGTGAAGTCTTTTATATCTTCAGAATTTTAACAGAAACAGGTAATCCTCAACTTACAGCCTTTTGTTTAGTGACCATTCAGTGACAAAGGCACCAGTGGTGGGTTCCTCCCGCAGTGCGCGCATGCGTCATACCTTTCAGCGATGCCTCTGCAAGCTTCTGCAATGCTCCAGCTGCTTGGCAGAGTGTAACGCAGGTGTTGTACGTGCCATGTGCGTGTGCAGAAGCGCCGAAGGCTTTAAAGGACAGGTAAGGAGCTCGAGTGGGCCATCCGGAGCACCGTACTGGAATGGTACCAAGTGATCCAGGCAGGCTCCGGTACACCCGTACCGGGGCGTATCGCCTACAACCTACCACTGAAAGGCACTGAAAAAAGTGACATGACCATTTTTCACATGACCGTTGCAGCATTCCCATGATCACTGGTCAAAATTCAATTGTTTGACAGTTGGCTTACATTTATGATAGTTACAGTGTCCCAGGGTCATGCAATCACCTTTTGTGACAAAGGAAAAGGCTATGGGGAGGACAGATTTACTTAATAACCTTGCTACTAACTTAACTGCACTGATTCACTTAACAATTGTGGCAAGAAAGGTCGTAAAGTGGAGTAAAACTCAACACTCACTTAGCAACAGAATTTTTCTGATCAATTGTAATCATAAGGTGAGCACTACCTATAATAGAATGCTCAAGTTGAAAATGTGTGTTGAAATTATTGAGTCTCCATGGGTTTCCAAATTAAGCATTACAGGCAGCATGCAAGATAATGTAAGTGGGAGGCTGTAAAAAAAGCATTTTTAATATGTATTAAAATGATATACATATATATTAAAGTGATTTTAAACTGGGTAGTTTACAAATCTTTTATTAAGAATAACCAAATGGAGCTTTTAAGAAATAAGCAGGCATCAGAACAATATTAATTGTAGATTTAATAGACTTGAATAAAAATGAAAGCCAATTTGTAATCCTGTTATTAGATGCTGAAAAAGCTTTTGGCAAAATATACGTAATACACGTTTTCTGTATGGTAAAGGTTTGGATTTTAAATTTATAAAGTGAACAAACTAAAATAAAGGTTAATAGTATGCTTTCTGCTGTTTTCTCTTGTTTAAAGAAAGCAAGAATGCCACTTTTATTCTTGCTCTTTAATATTTGCATGGAATCCTTGGCTTGTACTTTTAGACAACTTGAGGAGATTTACAGGGTAGAATGTAATTTACTCAAATTGATTTTATTTGAGATGATACCTCACTCTACTATCCCAGTGTTGGTACAAATAATATATGCTTTTAGTAAAATAACAAGATATTCCATTATAAGTGGAAGGGAAGGGAAGCCTCCAGAGGATGAAAAATGGCTGAAAATCAAGGCTGAAAGTCAGCTGGCCAGCATGTGCATGCATGCCATTGGTTCGCCATCACAGCTCTAGACAATGGGAGTGATCTTGATTTTGTATAGCAAGACTGTCAATGGATCTTCCTTAAACTATAACTTATGTATCAAAAACAATATTAAGAATTTATTAGATTCCATTACATTGGTATAGGAAAAATTGTCTAGAACAGCAGTTGTTGGATATGATGATGATGCTTCTTTAAAATACATTTTTACAATGTCTTATACTTGCTTAGTTTTGGGAGAATGGACCTTATAAATGTGTATGATAAAAGCTAAAATTTTCAGAGAATAGTATTTTCTTGAATTACATACTTAATATAAGGAATCTGGCAACTGGACAATATAAATGGGTTACTTATTGCAGCATTGAATTGGAAGCCTTTGGGTGTGTAGAGCTTTGGAATCTGGGACAATTAACATATTTAATTCTTGATGGGGTTGCCTGCCCCAGACTGACTGAAGGGACAACTTTGTGGGTTTCTCCTGGACTCACAACTCCTGCTCAAAGAGCAGGTGGCTGTCATGGTCAGAAGAGCCTTTGTATAACTGTATTGTACACTGGTTGTGCCTTTCCTGGATCAGGAAGTCCTGTGCTTAGCCTAGTCATCTTATGTTGAACTATTGCAATAGTATCTACATGGACTACCCTTGAAGAGTATTTGGCAGCTATAGCTGATGCAGAATAAGATCCCACTTCTTCCTCTTATGCATCTTTCCCCCTTCCTATCTTTGCCAATATTAAGCTAATGCAATGTTATTAATTATTGCTTTAATACAAAATGATTGTAAGCTGCCTAGAGCCACCTCTAGGTAAGATGGGCAGCATATAAGTTAAGCAAATAGGAAAGATAAATCTGTGGCCCCATTTACACCGTAAAGTGAAGAACTAATTACACTTGCTATTTAAGAGTGGGCTGTTTATTGATGTGGACTTTATATGAATAAGTATAATGAAATATGGGGCTCATTTGTACAGAATATAGTAGGTTAAAAACCCATGATATTCATATAAGTGCATTAGAAACTTATATAAAACATTTCCTTCTTACCCCTATGGGTGATATATGTTCTTCCACAATCTCTGAAGTATGAGAAGCTGGAGAAATAACAGGGCCTGAAGGAGGAATTAGAAAGGATGTGGAAAGTAAAGACCAAAATGATCCCACAGGTGTAAGAGCACTCTGTGCTATGAGTGTTAAGTTGGGAGAGTGGCTTCAAAATATCCCAGGAACAATGTCAGAACTTTCTGTCCAGAAGAGTGCAGTGTTAAGAACAGCTAAGTTACTGTTCAGAACCTTCAAACTCCCAAACTTCTTGTGGACGACCTGAGATTGCCTATCAACAGAGTGAGAACATCACCTGAAGATACGCAGTGCATGGCAGATTCTGGGAAACGCTTGGCTGTGGGGGCAATTGCACCCTTCCCCAAGGCTTAGCTTGTTGGATAATGGCATAATGCAGCCTTCTTAAGTGACAACAGTGAAACTGGGGAAGTGCAAGTGGAAATCTAGAGCTCTACTTCATGCCAGCCTTCATGCTTTTAGTCCAGGCTTTAAGCCACTGGTTGTCACCTCAGCTATCAGTCAATGGTACATCCCATGCAAGGTCTTGTCTTGCCATGCTTAATCTCTGCTTAATCTCAGCAGTTTATCTTTGGGAGCTATCTTGCTGATGTACTCCTGGATACTCTGGATTTTGTCCAGGACAGTAGCTATGACACCCCACCCCACCTGCCCCCATTGAATCAGAGTGTCATACAATAACTTGCATTTATTAGTTTTATTTTATACTGAACTTCCTCCCGAGAGAAGGGTTTAAGGAATAAAAGTTAAATGCTACATTGTGGGGATTTAGGATTACACATAGACGGACCCAGCTTCTAGTTTTCTATAAGTGCAAGAACTTCAGATATAAGCCAATGTAACAACTCTGACATTGCAGCCTTTTAAGTGTTATTCACTCAATCAATTCAATGAGAAATCATCCTTTTCCTTCAAAGAACTATTTGAATGCATGTACCCTGCTTTTTGAACAGACTGAATAGTGGAGAAAATGCATAGTACTTGACATGAAATAGTATCTAATAATTGGTGCGAACAATACATTTAACCCAAAATGTGCATTTTTATCACTGTCTGGTGGCGATACAACATTAAGGTAAACAGATTCAACACAAATGGAATTCTGATACGATGCAAAATCAGTGATCACTTTTTTTTGACAGTTAATTTTATGCAATCCCATACATCTAAGATAAGACATAATTTTCAGGCTAAAATTACTAGAAATTGCTAATGAGGGTATATGTGTAGGAAGGGAAAGAAAAATAGCAAACAGTTAAAGCACGTATGATTAACTGAAATCGGATTAGAGATATTTTAATATTGTACATACTGACAGGTAAGCTAAAAATGTTGAGTACCAAAAAATAGGTTCGGCTCATCCACAAATAGGCTTATCTGAGAGAGTATACAGTATTCTTTTTTTTAAAGTACATGTATTTTCTATATATACTTGCATGTAAACCTGTCGGCAGATAAGCAGACCTTAATTTTTTTTTACCAGAACATAAAAAATATATGACAGCTTATTCACTGATGGCATCTTTTTAAACTATAATTTGGTAAAAAAAAAAAAAGGGTTACCTTATTGAAGAAAGGGCTTATCTTTAAGTATATATGGTAGTAAAAATACTCCATTCTATCCAATCCCATCCCTTCCAGTAAAATGAAATAATCTTTTATCAGTAACCAAGGATATACCCAAAAGGAGAATTCAGATTCTTATAACCATGAGCTATAATCATAAACCTAATTCCGTAAAGTGAGTTGGCTTACAAAATAGCAGATCAAAAAATATTGATTTTGTAAATGCCATTTATCAACATTAAATGTTCTGTAATTTTGATTTATATTCTGTCTATATATATATATATATATATATATATATATATATATATATA